TACAAATGTGGAATAGCTGTCGAAAGACAAGGCATTTTTTTGTAGTCTTTAGTTGAAATGTACTCGGAGTACTGTGCCATAGGGAGGAATTGTAACCGGTGGTGGAGTTTCGAGATCGTTGAATTGGGTGGCAATGGGCTCGTTGGTGGACGACGACATGACACCTTTGATTTTCGACGGATGTGGCATTTTCCCCTTGGACTTGTTGGTCCTACCTAGTACGTTCGTTATGCGGCTGGTGATTTCGTGGCCCTGTGACCCTAACGCGTTTTGGTTTGTCGCCAGTGACCAACGGCATTAAACCTTGCGCGTAGCATGCAACCGCCTTGCGTTCGCTGCTTAGAAAACTCTTCTTGTGAGCGATAGCCTTGGGTTTAGTGTCGGCATCAAAGTCTTGAAGACAATACCAGATGTCGGTAATTGTATTACCTACCTGCAAGCCAGGAAGCCTCGGGTAGGTTTTCATTTTCGGAATCGGCACGTCAGTGTGCTGGTGCAATGATGGAGTGGGAGATCCATTTCTTGTGGGGCTTTGGAATGGGCTGGGGGTGGTTGTCCACATTTTTGATAATCGCCATAGTTTCCAGTGCCCGGAACTTGTCGGTTTCTTTCTCTCGCCGCGCCTCCAGCTCCTGGCACATCTTTCGCGCAGGTTGGCCATTTGTTTCCTTGCTTTGGCATCTCGCTTTTGCTGGCTCTTCAGCGACGCGCAGCTTTTGCTGCTAGGCCACCAGCGACTGCTGTTGCTGCACCAGCATGCGCACTTGTAGATCGAGCACGCTTTCCTTGGCTTTGAGGGTTTGGTACGATTCGTCCGCTTCCAGTCGGGCCACCACCACGTCCAACTCTGCTGCTACGAATTTTGACCACATCAAGACCAACAATTGTAAAGTGCAATGTATTGTGAATTCGCTATAAACTTCTCCAATCAATATTGAATCACCCTGGAGTTCTGATTTGCTGACTTTACTTGTCGTCCAATAGCGTCGATACGAGATTCGATTCGGCGGTGTGATCCGATCTGGAAATTCGTACCGAATCCTCAATACCACAGTATATATTATTTTCCCCATTCCATATAGTTTCACATTGCAGATCAAGACGCCAACACGATGAGTTGATTGATGATCACATGGCGTCATGGGTTGAGCGTACCTGGAATAGCAATAATACTGGTGCCTCCTTCTTTAGGTACGTCGACGGACGACACCTTTTGTGAATGGACTACCAGTGCGGGATGGTGACATGATGTCATTGGCTGGTTGGCTTTCCAAAATTCTGACATCAAAGGCCACAGACGAGCTTGGGCCTGAATTGGGCGGGTGCGAATCCATCGTCCAACTCGACCTCGTTTTTCTCGTTTTTATCACTGTGGTTGCCTGGGACGTCCGAGGGTGTGCCGTCTACCGGTAGTTTGTAAATTCGAGCAGGGCACTTGCATGAGTCGGACACCTATATGTATGGGTATCATCACGACGAGTAGACAGGCTGGGACGCCGTCGTGCATCTAGAAGCAGGGGAGCCGCCGTTGTTGTGTTGACCGAGAAGTCATTTGCGACAGCTCGAGCTTGTTCTAGGACGAACTCACGACACCACGACGTTGAAGCGGATTGGACTCGACTATTGTCGACATTACGACTATGTTGGCCGGGGCATGCTTTGCGAATGCGTGGCCCTGTGGAGAAAATGAAAAATACAACGACCACAACGTACGTGTACGTGGCGATGATCGCGCTTGGGGACGCCCTCATGCATTAGGGGGTCGTGGAAGTGCAGTCGCTGCTGCAACCAGCCCAGGACTGGATGGACCGCACGTATGAATCCAACTAGACGCGCCTCGTAATGACCTTGAAACAGACTCGACTCACCGTTGAGTACCACTGACATGGGCGCTAGTCCGATACATTTTAGGCGCAAAAAAACTAGACCAGGACGCCGAAGTGTGGTTCGAGTCGAATTATAACAACGCATGCTTGGAATGGGTGAACGACATGAGCGTCGGTCCGTTGCGGCACCTTTCTGACGTTGTGGCTAGTCCGACAAAGCTGACGCAGCGCACCGGCCGCCTCTTTTTCTCGACTTTCACCCTAAGATCACTGATTTGTTGGATTGTGACATATTGCCGGTATGAACACACATATGATCTTGGTAGTTGATGTATGTCTGATTGATGGGGTCTTTTGTAGGGGAAAATAACCCACGACATAAGCAAGTCAACGTCTCGTGTCGGTAATTGTATTACCTACCTGCAAGCCAGGAAGCCTCGGGTAGGTTTTCATTTTCGGAATCGGCACGTCAGTGTGCTGGTGCAATGATGGAGTGGGAGATCCATTTCTTGTGGGGCTTTGGAATGGGCTGGGGGTGGTTGTCCACATTTTTGATAATCGCCATAGTTTCCACTGTACATCTTTTGATCAGCATGGCGCTTCCTGAATAGGTTTGGCAGTAATTTGGAAATTCGGCGGTCTGAAACCATGGTATATACGGGTGGGGTGGCCGTTGGCCTTGGCTTCGTAGCAGGTGCTGTATGTATGCCGATGCTTGTCAAGTATTGTCAATGGAAATACGTTGGGGCGACGATCTTATGACTAAATATATTATACTCATTTACACACCATGTAATAATAGTGCTATAGTGCTTTTGCAACTTCTTTGGCAGGTCATATTTACTAGGCTTTAACTCGGTTTCATATGATTTCTGTCAAAAGGTATTCAGCGGCATGGCATGTCAGTCATTGTAAAGGCTGATGCGTGCATTCATTACCTCCAAACAAACACTAGTATTGACTTCTCCGAGTCCACGTCAGTGTGCTGGTGCAATGATGGAGTGGGAGATCCATTTCTTGTGGGGCTTTGGAATGGGCTGGGGGTGGTTGTCCACATTTTTGATAATCGCCATAGTTTCCACTGTACATCTTTTGATCAGCATGGCGCTTCCTGAATAGGTTTGGCAGTAATTTGGAAATTCGGCGGTCTGAAACCATGGTATATACGGGTGGGGTGGCCGTTGGCCTTGGCTTCGTAGCAGGTGCTGTATGTATGCCGATGCTTGTCAAGTATTGTCAATGGAAATACGTTGGGGCGACGATCTTATGACTAAATATATTATACTCATTTACACACCATGTAATAATAGTGCTATAGTGCTTTTGCAACTTCTTTGGCAGGTCATATTTACTAGGCTTTAACTCGGTTTCATATGATTTCTGTCAAAAGGTATTCAGCGGCATGGCATGTCAGTCATTGTAAAGGCTGATGCGTGCATTCATTACCTCCAAACAAACACTAGTATTGACTTCTCCGAGTCCAATATGTACCACGCTCGAACACGCAAAGGCCTCAAGTTGGTAGTTTGAAATCAGGCAGAATAATAAAAATACGCAACCCAGACTTGCGGTTTTCAAACTGCAATTCTGACCAAAGATATATAATTGCTAAGAGTGTGCTTCTAATTGGGGTGTACCGACGATCTATCTCGGCTGAATGAATCTTTAACCGGCGCACTAATGCACACTTAAATCTCCGGCGATTCCTATTATATGTCGTCGGTGCCAGATAAATTGGAAAGCAACAATTTATACTCCGGAATAGTAATGAGTACGTTATTATAAATTTACTACAAGTATAGACTGAACTACGCGGCTTTGCGTTGCAAAAACCCGTTGATCCGCCGTCGCAGCCGCTCCGACATGTGGTGCTTCCAATACTCCTCCTAACATGGGGATTAGTCGATTTTATTTCGAATGGTGTGTAGATTTTTTCTCTTGTTTTTCGTATGTACCTCTTCGACAATGGCTTCGTCGGCTCGGATTTGAGCAATAAATTCGGCCAGTTCGATGCGCCTAGCTTCCGCTGCCAACCGGCCCAACCGGCCTAAATTATTTTGTCCAATCAAATTGATTGACCGATTCATTTTGCCCAATCATTTTCAAGTCTTTTCGTAACATAAATGCATGTTAGTAAGATCACAACAATTTATGGCTGTCTCATCGTCCATGTTTCCTGCATAGATTAAAACCACTAATCCATACATAATCTAAACGTGTCCACAACCAACAATTTTGGAAACTGCTAATCTACTCACTATATAATTAACATTTCCCCTGCTTGAATTGTATTTAAACCATAACAAATAGCAATACAATCCCTCATTGATAAAACTATGCCAGTTTCTTGTACAAAAATTTATAGTAATACAGAATGAACAGTATTTTTAGAATAAATAACAAATTCATCAACCGACAGCCAGTGGTCGATAATAATATCAGAAAATGAGTCATGGGTAGAACCATAATATCGCCGTGCTTCATACCGCGATAGGCGCGTTGCATGGTCGTGGCGGCCGCCAGCTCCAGGGCCATCTGGGCCTCCAGTTCTGCTCGCCGCAGTTTCCATTTCGCCGCGGCTCCTCTCCCCAAATATCCCCGAAACACCCGTTGGATCTACGCCAAAGCATTCGCTATCAGTATTCGCAGTACTTCATCGGTATTCGCCTTGTCTCATCAGTTTGTTGACAGTTCATTATATGAATGCGCTCGTACATGTGTGGAAGCTCTGGTTTCTTGCTTGGCGAGGCGGTGTTGGGCGTACAACTTTTGGCGATACGCCGCCATGCGCTCTTGCTCGCGCAAGTATTTTCGATCGAGGCCGATTTTGGCTTTGACATTTGCCGCGTCCAATCGTCTACAAGATTGATTAGTCGTCACATGTCAGAGTGCAGGATAGAAGCAACACGCGTTTATATTATCCAAACTGGAGCGACGTGTACCGACACAACCAAATGTGCTAAATGTGCAGTGGCAGAATCGAGCCAATCGAGGTTGTCGGATCTTATCATCTCATTCGTGTTTGGATTGACATCACCCCAGAATATGTTTTATATATACAATTTGTTTTCAGTACAAAACAAAGCGATCGATGGATTTGGCGAATCAGCATACAAGTCTCAAGTATTGGGTAAAAGGACAAAAATGTTGTAGGTGTTCACAGTCTATGTACGATGAAGGAAGACTACCGAAACATATACTAGGTAATAAGAAAAATATGTAGTCTAGCGCAGCACGACTTGGACGAGAGATTTCAACATGTTTGTACAGAAAAGTAAGGTACAAGTACCGCTGGCGGTTGGCCTGACGGGCGCGTTCGCCTTGAAGCACCGACGGCTTGTCGAGTTTGGTGGTCGGTGGCGGTGGTTTGCTGGCGTGGGTATTCCACACGTTTTTCTGCTTTTGCAACAAACTCAACCCTCGAAAGTACATGAGCGTCATGCAAAACAGGCCAAACTTGAGCGCTTGCTCCGTTTCGTTGAGGACCGTTGCTACCGCCGACCCTACAACACGTTCAGGTTTCGGTAAAAATATAAAAGTTGCCCAGCAACTTGCTCGATCAGAGCAAAGTCGTTTCATTCGACCAAAGGGGCCTTACAAAACCATTGATATACATATATATATATGTTTATATTAGTGGGATGGATATCGTTATGCACCTGCTTGGACGGCTTTTCCGCGGCGTTGTGTGGCCTGCGCGTCTACTTCGATGGGTGTCCATTTGTCAAAGGGTGTGCCAAACTTGGCTTTGGCTTCGTTCATGTCTTTCAATTCGTCCGCGTCGGAAGCCAACGTGTCTAACGTGAAGCACATATTTATACCATGGTCGCGTGTTCTTTTAACGAGGGGTTGTTAAACAAAAGACCTCGATCCAAGAACGCAAGGGACCGCAATGCATGCACTGTCAGTGGCCCTTCCTTGTATACACTGGGGACGTAACCCTGGACCTGACGACGGGACTCTCGTTCGCCAAATACCCAGCCTTCCAGCATGAACTCGAGCATGTCCTCCATCACTTCGTTCGCGACCAACTGCGCCACCAGCGTATTTTGTTCCCGAGTCAGCGCCGCCTTGACCTTTTCCGTCTAAAGAACCATCACCAACAACTCAACACATTACAGAATGTCGTCATTCACCACCGCTTGGTCGCGTACGCATGTTTTTATACAAGAACAAGAAAACCATGTACATATTTATATATAGAGCTGCGTGGGTTTGACTTCATAGGATACGCATGTGCATACCCCAATATTTATATATATATATACAGCAAAATAATATATATATATATATACCCCAAAAAATATGTACACATCCAGATATATATATATGTATACCCCCCCATATAGACACACCCATATCTATATGTCCAGTACACTCAAATATATATATAATGTATATATATATATATATATATATATGAATGTATACTAGTATAAATTTAGGTGTACATATCACATGCGCCCCCGTTGAAGTATAAACATACGACTACATATATATACCGTATAGTGTATATGTATTGCGACAAGTGATATTTCACAACCGGCCGACACTCGTTCTCAAAATTTTGTTAATCCATTGCGTCATATAAATTTGAAGTATATTCAACATATTCACAAGCAAATATAAGTTATTACAAGAAAATTATCAGTTATTACAGGAGTCGCAATAGATTCATCCGTCGCAAGACATACACACTATACGGTATATATACAAAATCATCTGCCGTACTTGTTGCATCTGCGTGAACCCGTGCAGAGCCACGGTTTCAAAGTGGTCGCCGGGCCAGTTGTACGCGGCATGGAGCTCCGTGTCGATCGCTCGCAGCCGCAAGTGCTTCTCCCACACCCGGCACTCCATCGTCAACTCGCTAAACAAATCCATCTTGCGAAAGGACACGGCACCTCCGCCGCTTCGGAGCGCCGTGAGGCACGTGGCAGAGGACACCACCGTCTATAATATAACCAACCCGTCATATATGGAATAGTCACATGGTGGGTTTCCGATAGAAATAAAAAAAGTTGGCTGCTCGTTCAGCAGTAATACAAGTGGAACGATCGAGTGTTGGCAACCATATCACAAGCCCAAAGAGTTTGTTGTAAGTGGAGGCTATTGTTTTGGACGACGGGACCTACCTCCTTGCTGCGCTTCACCCGTTCGATCTCATCTTGGAGCAAGTGCACGCGATGTTGGATGGTGGGCAGACGGTCGTCCAGATATGGCGTCCACATGCACGGGTTGGCTTTGCACGCCATACACCCCCCTGGTCCGAGTTGTTTGCGTTCGACATCGAGTTGCTCGCGTTCGATCGTCTTTGGCACCAACGCCTGCGACACTGTGATTTAGATCATTGCTTTGATTGGACAATCATTCATCTTTACGGTGATTTGATTGGTTTACGAGGAGTATTAATTCGGCCACTCAAACAACAACATTGTTTGGCAATATACGACAAGACGACGTACGTCTTGAATGGCGCGCTTTTGTTTTTGAAACGACGGTTTGGTTGCCTTTTTCGTGCCCGACTGCGGTTTACCAGCTGCTTTGGCTTTGGCGAGGCGGGCGATCTGGGCTTCAGGGTCTGAATCCGAGCTGTCTCCATCGTCTAAGTACGGTACATATCAATATATATTTATATATTATTTGCTTCACTCAATTCAGCGAGGTTCGTATCACCCCGATCACAACTCTTTTCATTGTTGGCTTCATAGTGAGAAGAGAAAAAAATGTAGTCAATCAACGAGAAGGATTTCCTGATCGACGAATCGGAGCGCTTTATGATCGGTTTGGTCGGCATGACGGGTTTCGGCAATCGTCCCAACTCGATAATATATATATACGGATCATTCTGGCAGAATAATATATATATATATATATATTGGGTGGTGTAAAGACCTGTTTTGTCGAGCGACGCCGCCAACGCCTTCCACTCGGCCATCTCGCGCTCATACAATTGACTCAATAACAATCTATCGAGCTCTTTTTCCAGTTCTAATCGCAGCACTTGAGTCGGAAATCGCTGTGGCGCGCTGTGTAAAATCGACGAGTCCATCATATCATTCGGGTTGGCCATGGCCTACAACACCATCATGTATCATCTTTAAAACATATAAATATATCATTTTCATCCTGCTTTTGGACAACAGAACTGGCAGTGAGTGGATTGTTTATCTTACGCGGTCTAGTTCTTGCTGCACTAGACGGCATCGCAGGTCGATGTCCACTTCGACTTTCATGCCTTGCTGGGTGTGATTAACTGCGTGATGGGACACTGGGACTGCTTTCGGCGCGACCAATTCAAGGCAAAATACATTGTCGTAGTGCCATAAGAGGTCCCGCACGTGCCGCTCCTTGGGCGGCAAAATTGATATCTGCTCTTCTGGAGTTTGAATCTACAACATAAATGCAGCAACGTCAAACAAACGAAAGAATAGACAGAATAATATAATAATATAATAATCAATGTACTATGTAGACTATGTTGTTAACCTTGTCCAACCATAACTACATTTTTTTCAAAATCGACTCTACCACGTACTTGTATGTATTCCTTATGAACGTTTATGATAGCATACAACCATATAATCAAAATGATCCCCAACATTGGAAATATATTCCGACACTCGCGAAGTTACAATACAAAAAACGACAACCTCGCAATCTACCTATGTATATATATATATATTCATTCATCTCGTACCAAACTCAACAGTTTGTCCTTTGTCCAGTGCGTGGGTACTGCTGGTGTCAGTTTGGTCGAGTACAAATCGGGGTGTAATACTCTTTCCATGGCCACCCACTCCCTCTGTTCTGGCTTCAAGTCACCTACATACGTCCATATCTTCAATTCCCGGACACAAAAAATATACTAGTAAGATATTAGAAAGCATTTTGTTTTTTTCGATATCCTAGCGGGTTAAGAAGAAAATATATAGAAATAAAATAAACGAATGATATAATTTAAACATATATATTATATTTAAAGATAGATAAATAAATTATATATTCACCTGATTCATCCCAATGTACACGATGACGGTAGAAAAACAATACAGAATCTATATGTTCTTACTAGGTAGTTTGGTGCGCCAAGACGCCAACAACGCCGCCGGCACCGCCGCTACTTTGGTGTCTCTGAACACGAGCATGGCCTTTCGTAGCTGCAATTCTTTGTTTCGGAGCTGGTTGACTGGCGCCGTGAGCACGCGCTCCAGTTCCGATGCGGTCCACGCAAGCAGCGACCTTTCATGAGCGGTTAGGTCCATACCTGGGGGCGCCAAGGACGATCCATGGAGCATCTCGGTGGCATGCACAGCTTCTTGTTCCCACAAGTACTGCACCACAACAGTGCAATACGGTTAGTAACTTTCCAATGTATACTCGTTTCGAGGTATATACATATCAATGTATTCAAGCTTTCTCTTGAATGTATCATTCACGTTCGTAGAGATATTACATCAATACGACATGTATATTTAAAGAGAACTGGAAGGCGAGAGTCACACTGGACTGTGCATATATATATATATATATATATATATATATATATAAACATCCAAGTGCATATCGTCTACGTATGATATACTAGTATATCTAGATAGGCGTACGAAATCAGGGAACCGAATGCGATCCAGCAAGATCCATTGCCGCTCGGTGGGGTTGAGCGAAAGGGGACTTTTTTTGTATTTTCGGCGCACACGCTGGGCCGACGTCAAGAGCGTCCGCAGCTGGCCTTTGAGTGCTGCGAGATCTCGCCACCTCATTTTGGCCGTCTTGACGACGTGGTAGTCAGCGCCCAACGCATACCCAATCTAGGACAACCGTATCCCAGTTTAGCTAACTACTCTCACGTGGTTAGTTGGTAATAACAAATCCAACTCCAAACACTACCCGACCATCGAAAGTCTCATAGTGTGTCCATCCTCGAAACGCAATCTATTCAAAGAGTATCGAAGAATCGACGACACTACGCACAATAAACTACCCGCCTTGAAATAATATATATATATATATATATATTTGCCCTCCACACCTCAACACTACACAAATCCCAAAATCGTGTAGCAGAAATCCCATCCATAAACCTCAAATCAAACAATTGCGAGTAGTTGCAGCAGCAGCGTGACCCTATAAAACACAAGAAACCATGACGCTACTATAAACAATAGTCAACCCGCAAAGTTCGCTAATAATATCTTCAACAGGGTAGCATTTTCCTCATTGGAAACCCAACAGAACAACACGATGCCTTTCACCTTGACAGTACAATGCCAGTGTGTACAGTTTAGGGTTATGTTTTCATACTTTGAACCCCGCAGTATGGCCTTCAAGGCGGCCGGTGGCGTCGGGCAAATACTGCCGATACTCGCGCAAGGACGTTTCGAGCCGCGCCCGTTCGAGCAGCAAGTCCGCGTGGAGAGAAGCCAAATGGGCCAACGCCGTGTGAATATCGCGGCATTCTTCCTGCCGAATCGTGTGCAGTTTGCACTGCTTGGTGAACATCCGATCTGCTTCCCGCATCTACGCAGTTCCATCAAAAGTTTGGAAAATTTAATCGTGATATGCCCCTTCCATCCCATATCCACTTATCTTGCCCAATATGTATATGTTGAATGCATTATGCATTTGCTACAAATTTCCCCATTCAGCGCGATTCGTAAAACCGGTCCCAAATCTCGCCGCGCCATTTCACAGACTTTTCCGACTCAGCAGAAAGCACAAAGTAAAAAGAAAATATAATGTAGCCAATCAGTGAAAAGCTTTTCCGTATTGACCAATGGGAGCGATTCCTGATGCGTTTGGTCGTTGTGATTCGATTGAACAAGGTCCTGAAATTCGTCCCAAATCAAAGATACTTCCCATACAGTAATATGTGTATTTCCATCGAGATATCTATATATGCATTGATGGATATAAGTATCTATATTGATGGGAACTAGACCTTCGACAACATGCGGATATATATATACTTACATATACGTATACGAATATATTTGCATATACTTGCATATATTTATAAGAATACATAATCAAACACATACGTATGTTTCCATCTATGTGTCTTACCTTGGTCAACAAGTGCGTGCGGTTGGAGGAGTCTGTCGCAATTTCAGAGTTGCTCTGAAACGAGTGCAGCAATTCCTGCGTCGACGCTACAACCATCTCGGCTTCTTTGGCTTTGGCCATAGCGTCCGCAGCTGCCAGTTTGACCTACACGACGGATGAGTTGCGTTGTACTTATTTTGCATTCACATAATCATTTTATTCGATTGCTTGGTTACCAAGTTGAGTTTGCGCTCGGCGAGTCGCATGCTTTGCCAATACATGTCGATTTCCTGGCGGCCCATCTACAATGCATTTCCCATCATAAGCTGCTCTATGACTTGTCTTCGAAAAGCTCTTGCAATATTGTCAAATCGATTCGAAACGGCAGCCGTTAGCAGACTCAAATGTCTTATTGTGCATGTTACCCAAATTTGGACTTGTGAGTGATTTCGCAAAATAGCATTCGAATCCATTTGATCCAATTGAATAAAGAAAGAACCACTAATGTCAATCAAATCACGTCCCTCTGGCCAATCCAAAAGACAGATTCTTCAGTATTGGGAAAAACCTGATGTATCCTGTAACAAACATTGCGTCGTATAGTTTGTACAAGCTTAAACAGGGTCAAACTCTATGCTAATATTGACTCAAATTTGGGTGAAAAGCGCTTTACCAATGATTGATTCCGCGATGAATTCATTTGTAGTCAAGGTACAGATAACGAACGATTTATAGTCTTTGGTGTCTTTTTTCATAGAAATAATGAATATATGTATAAACATGCCCACAACGTAAACAATTCCATGATTATTACCCATAAAGGAACTGCACAAAATTAAGAACGAACCAATCACACTACAAGGACATAATAACCACCACAACATGTACACGTACGGGGAGGCGTGCTTGGTGGGTCAGTGCCAACTGCTTGGCTTGTTTCACAAATGCTGCGACGGGGCTCACAAGGTGGCAACTTACTATAATTGAGTATTTGGTTTCACTCTACCAAGATACAACCAGTGTTAGCCATATATATATGTATATCTTCTTTGGATAGATACATCTCAAAGCCAAACACACCATCATGCTACCAACCACTCATGTACATGATCGAGGTGCAAAGGCTCCCTCTATATATACTGTAAAGTCGATTCGAATTTGGAGTGGGGTGGTCAATCGAATGAGCTGCACCAAATCGGCAGACAATCGATCGACCAATCAAAAACCAGATCACTAATCAAGTAGCCAATCAAATTCACCCTCGGACCATTTGAACACCGAATTAATGTGTGACTTAAATTAGTGTGATGCTCGACGAATTTTAGATAAAAAAGGCAGGACAAAGAATCGATCGATGGATTGGCGAATCAGCAACAAAGTCCAAAATTTTGGGAAAAACAAAGACAATATATGTACAGACTTACCGGACAACCCACAACAATGTGGTATGATCCTTGGGCAATGGGAACTTGACTTGGCTTGTGCCGTAACACCACCCGCCCCAGCGATTCCCTCGTGTTCAGAGCTATGTCACTATATAGCACTTGACCGATGGGGGCTGGGGCGTCCCCACTCATGTAGTACAACATCGCTGCCAATCGGCCGACTTGGTACCCCATGCTGGTAAACTTGCCTATCAAAAATGTATAACATATCCGACAACGTTTGGGATCACTATGGCTTCAACGCAAGGGGGAAGAGTAAGTACCTTCGAATACAATGGAAACTGTCAAGTGAAGTGCCGTCGTGTGCAGTTGAAACTCGTGCGTGGCACTCTGTCGGGCTCGAAGGCGGCAGTCGGTCAATTCCATCAGCTTGGACTGCTGGTTCGAGTCTACGAGCATCGTGCAATGCTCCGGCGCGGCTACGATGAAGGCGAAATCGCCAGGGTTACATATTTTCGAATGCCCTTTTATTAATAAATTAATAGTTTTATATCAAATCACCCAATTTGTTTATCCGTTTATTGAATCGTCTGTGGAATGCAACGTGAACAAATTTGTTTTCGTCCACAGTATATTTCATGCAATGGCACAAGACAACACTCCCGTTCACATCGTACGCTATATGTATACATGTCATCGTCATTTTCGACTTCAACTAGTTCAATTTTGCGTACGAGATATTGACAAATCGATTCGAAACTCGAACCCTCAGCAGAATCATCGAATGTCTTAAGAGAATGGATTAAAGAACTGCCTCAGCCAATCAAATCACGTTAGATGAATTTCTGCCAATCCAATCATTTGATTCGGCCTAACCCCTCCGCATTGGGCAAAACTCTAAATATATCCTAATCTTTATATCATATAGTTTGCACAAGCTTAAAATTAGATCAAATGGTTTCGAATGGTATTTAGCGATACCATTTACAAGTCCAAAATGGTGCAATGAACAATATACATATTGGACGTTGGAAAGATAGAAATCCGTAGCCAAGCCATACAAACCCACACGAAAATCGTACCGACGATGTCGGCGAGCGTGTGCACCACCACCACTCGAGGAGGCATCAAGCTTCCATACAAATGGAGGACTTTCCACGCTGGGTGGTCGCTCTGCGACAGCGTTGTCAGTTGTTTCAGCTCGCGTATACTTGTAAGTCCCAAGGGTAACGATGCTACTACTCTATCTGCAGCACCGCCTTCCTTGTCCTCCTGGAGCACTCGATCGCAGTCGCGCCACGCTCGTTCGACCGGACTACACGCTTCGATGGGTTTCAATCGAAGCGCAGCGCCCATTTGCTTGTGTATGGCCGTGTCCAGGTCCTGGATGAGCTCCCGCGGGGGGGCAAATTGCACGTCCAACGCATTGAAAAAGCTCTCGCCGTCGCCCTTGGTATACTGCCGCAACAGTTTGTGGGCCTGCACCTCTTCAGTGGACTTCAAAAATGGAAGCGCGAGGTTTGCCCGCTCAGGCAGCTGCAGCAACCGCGAGATTTGCACCGCCGTCAGCGACGTGTTGTAGTGCGCGTTGAGTCGCATTTCCTGGATGTCTGGTTCAGACAGGGTCAGGTATAACGCTGGAGACAGCAGCCGATCCAACGCCACCCACTTCTTTTCGTCCAGCGAGCGCTCGTGCACGCCTTTTCGGCGGATGGTTGTCGAGACGTCCACACTCGATGCAAGAACAATGGGTGGCTGCAAAGCGTTCAATTTGGACGGGTCGTCATTACGAGACTATAAAGCAGCATTGTCGTTGGTGTTGATGTATTTGTTCAAATATTATGAATTTGCTAAAAATTTTCCAATTCTGCTGAATTCGAATAACCAGTCACAAATCTCGCCGCGAAGATCCATTGGGTGCCCGATTCCACAGAAAGCACGAAGAAAACCAAAAATAGAATGTAGCCAATCAGCGACAAGTAATTTCAAATTAACCAATGGGAGCAATTGGTCATCGTGATTCGATTGAACCGGGTCCAGAAATTCGTCCCAAATCAATAATATAGTGTGCTGCTTTTTATCCAAAGTTGTCCACTTTAGGTAGATTGTTGAAATTACCAACAACACGACGAATCCTGCGAAACAGTAAAATTGGCTTGAAAGAAAGAGTTTGCAAAATATGATTGGCTAAAAAGCACACATAAATGTGATTCAATCGCAAAAACATCACCATGAACAACACTAATAAGTCATAAACGCAAGCAAAAGAACTAGATGTATGTCTGTCTACCGTATACCTTCAGTCCCCATAATATTGCCTTAACGAATTGTACCGAAATTGCAGTATGGTATCAATATCGAACGATTTGGTGGTGCCTTCAAAGGCTGGACCACAGTCGCTTGTATTAATCAAAATTCACCAATTATTTCGTTTTAGCCAAACAAGTCGAAGTAAATAGAAATGGCCAATGCGAACCCAATGGAATGACATTTTTGGACCTCCTTATTCAGTTGTTACTGACATCTTCGGGGGTGGTACAGACACATCCATAAGGTATACATACATACAGGTATAGATCAACAATTGTTTAACACAGACTATGAAGTATGCAGGAAACTCTTCTTCTATACACAAACAAAAGAGGTGTGTAGAATACTTATGCCAACCTCAAACGCCAAAGGTGATGACAAGGAGGAGGATGTCGAAGGTCCATCCATCGCCAGTACGTCGGCCAACATGGTGTCAGCCTGAAGCAGCGACACCAGCGCGTCCGTGAGCTCGATGCCCTGGGCCCGCAAATTCGTGCGGTGTACTTTGGCCGTCGCGGCTTGCGTTTGGAGCGTTTCCAACTGCTGCTGCAGTTTCATGCGCTCTGCTTGTAAATTGGACGTTAAGATGTGCCGCTCCACGCGTTGGAGTGTTCCTAGTCATCCAAAGGCATCAGAGTCGTCGGTTGCGGCAGGCAATATCCAGCATCCTGGGTCGGCTAGAATCAGAGCAGCCCCATACAACAAGAATCAGACGAATCATAAACCCGTCGAGGGGGTGGTACATGACGCCTGCGAGTCATATCCGACCAAGCACTCGAAGCATGAAACCGATGTCCGATCGAATTACAAAGAAGGACCGGAACCACATCATCTCAGGGCCGCCCACGTCAGTACCTGCAATGTACACGTCCGTGTCGATGTACGGAGTTGTTAATGTGTCCACGCGTTCAAGTTCGACTGTGATCTTGTGGACACGCGCCTCGGTGGAATTAATGGCTGTGAGACGTTTCGAGTCGGCCAACGCTTCCGATTCTTGCTCTTCCTGTAAACATAAACCAATAAATTAGTGGCGCTCTATAAAACCCACCAGAGGTAAACCATGATTGAGTTTTTTTCTTAATAATATATATTTTTGATATTTTGAAATGTGATATCCGTAGTCGTTTACGCACCCGAAGCACGGCCAAGTCCTCGTTCGCTTCGGCCAACATGGCTTTGACCTTGCCTTGTAAGGTGCTCATTGCGACATCGGTGCGTTTTTGCAGCACCGCCAGGCTTTGCATCGCCCGATCAAACATGACCACCTAACCGTTTTTCGATCCCATAACAGTCAGGATGGATACATGTATATCGTTGGTACAGATTTATATATATATGTTTATTGTGTATGTAAATCCATATAAATATATATTTATTCATTATATATGGACATACCTCTGCATTTGCCACGGCGACGACCGAAGTCAAGTGCGTCATCTACGACCAAATCATAAGCCACTCGAAAACCAGGAGTCGCTTGATATTTCTTTTCTTGATATATTCCACCAACAAGGACAGTTATAATAATACATACCAATTCTTTGAGCAAATTCCGCAAAAAATTAAACAATGCGACATATATATATAGAGTTTAAGGGGTAGATTATACACACATGCAACACATATAGCGTTTCTAGAACAGGCGAAATACACTCACCTCTTGATGCAAGGCGTTGATTTTGTCTCGTAAGAGCCGCATGCCTTGAGCTGTCGCGGGGATCAACCGGACAGTGCCGCCAGCTTCGGGCTTGGCAATCACGTTTTCGTCTTCGGCGCGCTGGAGGACCTACGATCGTGCCTCTTCTCAGCTCTTGGCAGGTTCTTCTTGAAACAGCATAAATAGAAATAAATAATTAAAAAAAATTATCAAACCCACCCATCCAACGTTGATAAAAATACACTAGTACTAGTATACCTATGAAAACAAATGGGCCATGCCATCATGCAAAGATATATATTTCGGCATGCTGTTTAAAACCATAGAAAAAACCCATTGCCATGTATCTACTGACAACATACTCGAAGCAAGTTGTGGTACATGCGACTCGTGTCGTCGAGGGTGGCCTGAATCGACTGCTGATTGGCCTGGCTCGATCGTTGGCGGGCCAATGAGCTCTGCTTTTGGCTTCGAACGGCATGCACATCCTGGATCAAGCAGTGCACGCCGCGCACAAGCGTCGGGATTTCGTGGCTGCGGATAAGACAGTCGATCGCATATCTACAAATACCACGAGCCAAAAGTATATATGACAAGGCAGAACAACGACAACGACTCATTTGTTATATGTAAATATATAAACTATATATATGTCGCATCAGGATTTTGAACAATGATACAACGACTCCTCTGCTGTATATATATACAGTATATATATATATATGACGCATCGGGATTTTTGGGTTTGATTTTTCAAAGCATATAATACCCTTCGACGTCGCCACGTAATGTCACTTGGTTGGCTTCCATCTGAATGTAAGTGTTAGTCAACTACTAGTATGCTTTTACATGTCTTGCTCTATATAAATAAATATCTACTATATTATATATAGATATATATTTTCTACGTACTTGGCGTTGTAGTGTCCATAAATCTGCCTGAAGTTTGGCGCGCTGTGCGGCTCGGTCTAACCCTTGTTGAATCGCAACCTAGAATGACAGCATAACATATCACACACACAGTGTAATATTTGATATATGAAACAATTTTTTTTTATTCGTCGGTTCTGTTGCATACAGTGTAAGGTGTAAGGTTTGATATATATAAAGTACATATATATATATTCGTCCTAGTTCTGTCGCACCTGTTCGTCGCGCTTGTCTTGTCTTTCTTCGTTCAACACGTCGACGGTCGACAGCGCATTTGAGTTTGTTTCCCGCCATTGCAGCATCTATATCCATAGATGTATATATATATTATATATATATATATATATATTACGCTGAATTACAACAATAGAGAATCACACTTGCACATATGTGTACATTATGCTGAATACAATGTATGGATGCTGCATAATACCAAGATACATATAGAAATCATCCCAAACATATGACAATGAGGCAGTAGATAATAAACAAATGTTGTCATTTCAGGTATCCTCACACAGTACTTTGGCGTCGTGGGCTTCGCGACGTCGGCTCTGCTGATCGCTGGCCTCCATAGCACTGCGCTCGGTCCATTCGGCTTGCGCGATGGTTTGCTGGAGTAGGCGCGCCTCCTCTTTGGCCTTAAACGCCATCGATTCCTTTTGAAACCGCGCTTGTTGCCGCGCTAGCTCCCTTTTTGTATACGCGATCACCACATAAATTTATCAATCCTTATCCGAGATTGATAAATGGGGAGAAATTTCAAATACGAGTGTACTAGTATACATATTTCAAATACGAGTGTACTAGTATACATTACGAAGTACATAATATTGTAAATTCCGCTCCTATTTGGACTATGGAATGAATTTGACAAATGTATTTAAAAATGTCCTAGCCAATCAAAGTGCGCGAATTTCAACCAATCACCGATTAGTATTGTAACCCTCCCCCGTCAAAATCATCATCTTAAAGTTTGTATAAAATACATTGCTCGGATTCTCGAATCCGCTGTCAAGTCCAAATTTCAGCGAAAAGCACAAGAAGTGTAAATTGTGGTCGGGGAAAAAACTGATGCACGTCAAACGCACATGCTATTGTAAATCCGTTCAAAATTTGGACGTCCGAGTGATTAATTAATTTTGCAAATACATATGGTAGAATGACCTAGGGTGAGTTAAAAAAAAAGGTCAAAAGCTTCGATATTTTATCAAGTCGACAAAACATCAAAAACTTCTTTGTCTGGTTCCAAAATTAGGAGAATTCGATACTTTGCCAAAATTATCACTTTCTTGCCTAACAATAAAAAAGATGTACAAGAGCCTTATTTTTCTGACAGTTTGCAATAACTGAGTATTCTTCCGAAACCAGTTTGATCCAGACAGTCGAAAGGTGACATCAAAAATTATTTAATTATTTTGAACCGAATTTTCGAATTATTGATTGGGCAGAAATTGGGATGTGATCCAAACCCACTTCTAGCCAATTCATCGGCACTCAAGAGAAATTTCAGCCAATCGTCAATCTGCACAGTTTGGCGCACTCAGAATCTATATCATTAAACGTATCTATCTACCAACATTGGATCCACTTGAATTTTCACTCCCTGTCAAATCGATTCTGCTAACGACCGCCAAATTTGGGCGAAAATGGACAATACAACATCGTACCGTAGTTTTTTCTGGTGTTTTTCTTCGTGTTGACGTTCGACTTGTCGGGCGTGGTCGAGCTCGAGCTCTCGTTTGGCTGCTTTTTTTATGTCGGCTGCGCGGGCGGCGTCGGCTTCTGCTGTTAATGTCCGATTTAGCAGCCATAGAACTTGGTCTGGCGGTCCCAGTGGCACGTCGATGTCGCGATCGATCAGTTCTTGGCGAATGCCGTTCAACCCGAGCGTTTGGTACATTTCTTGGACTTTTGGAAGCTACAACAAGAGGTGGCCACCCAAAGCAATTAAAACCATGCAAATGATCCCCCGACCTAGCCTGAAAACGATCAACGTGTGGCCAGAATAAAGCAAAAATTCGTTGGCCCAAAGTCAATGTTGACACATGTCTCGTAAACGACCAAAGGGTCTATCGATGCGACTCGATACAGTGCCAACACAGTGATTACAAAGCCCCAGTCACGATGATTGAGCTGATGGCTGGCTACACAATCGACGGGTATCGCCATATAAACATCGTAGCTTTATCGAAGCTAGCGAGCTGGTACAGTAGTAATATATAGCTCGTGGTTGTTCTTGTCGACCAGATAGTAATACACATGTCCTCGAATCTAGTCTTGTCACGGAATTCCTCGCATTTGGTTTCAAAACGCGACCGCGTACCAGTTGGGGGATATTATCGTCGTCCATATCTCGCGTATCCCGGGTGATGGTGGGGGATTGGCCCACCGTGAGCTCGTCCACGTCACCGTCCCCAACCAATCGGTCCATTGCAATGTTAGCACCCCCGGCAACGGCGCTGGTTCCATCATCCACAAGTTTGTCGTCAGCTCCCCCTTTATCGTCAGCGGACGTCGACTGGGCTTGCATGGCTCGCTGGGCGGCGGTTACAAGCTGGTCTAAAAACGAATGGAGAAATGTCGGTCGTTCTTGGAGCAGCTCGTGACCACCCTTGAGCCACGAAACGTGTACAACCCCCCCCGACGAAGTGAGTTCGTCGTCCAACGACAAGGCTAGTTGGCGCTTGTCCTGAAAATACGACACTTGCGCAGGGGGAATCCACGAGTTGTGGCTGCCGTGAACGACAAACAACGGCATGTGCAGGTTGCTAACAAGCAATGGTCAGCATAACATTATAGCGAGCTCGAAGAAGAAGCAGCAAACAAAACACATAGGGGGGTTTGCTCGGCCCTAAACAAATACCTTTATCTACTAATCTTCAGACCAAGTGCAAACATTCAACGTAGTCGACGTATCTTGGGAGAACACGCAAAAACATGTCGTCACAAGCACATGTCAGGGGTTGCTAAAAAATCATGCCTTTCATATTATATCCTTGGTGAAACCTTGCTGGTTTCTATACTAATGACCAAAACCATAGCAAAGTTGCTAGAAGAGTAATCATGAATCGCGTCACCTCGTTTGATATTGTATGCGTTTCACTTCACCAATCACATAATTCGAAGTCGATTTGAAAATGGAGTGGCGACTAAACAATCGGCAGACAATCGGTCAACCAATCAAAACACCAAACACTAATCAATAAGCCACCCTTGCACACATTGAATGGGTCTGCGACTTGTATTAGTGTGAAACTGCATACCAAAGTCAGTCCAAACGCAACGACCGAGAAATGACAGTATAAAAATCTTAATTATCATTACATATCGCACATGTACACGCATTAGACGAAATTTTGGTCACGTATGTACCTCAGTACCGGGCGCAAGTCTTGGTGTTTAAGCACGCCTTTCAATAGCTGAGTGAATATCCGTTTCGACGGTGAATCAAAAAAGCCGCGACGGTGGCGGAAGAACTCAGTAAGTGCCTTGTCCCTTGTCTCGTGGTTCAAATATGAGTCGCTAAAGAGGATCGCAGCCAGTTGCTGGTGGGATTCTGTCACGTGCTTGGCGTGCTGCAACGAATGGAGCAACTATTGAAATATAAATTAATATACAAATAATAAATATTATATATATATGACAACTGTGGCAAAACCTGCTGGACTTTGGCTTTGATACCGTCGGTGCAACAAAATCCATTGAACAGCACCAATCCATGCAGCGCTTGATTCAACACGTGCAATTTCGGTTGTTGTGGCGCAGTGATCTACAGTCCCACACACAAAATATATTTAAAATAATACATTAATTTCAATCAGGAGCATTTAGCATCTATTAGTATTGTTAAACCACATAAAACCCATCAATCGCAGCATATAGTAAATACTCCCTAATTATAGTCAAAGCGAAACATCCGTTCCCACTTGAACTTCCGAGTAGAATCGAATGAATTTGACGCATGTACTACGATAGAATGTCCTAGCCAATCAAAACGGCTGCACAAATGAGCAATTTCAACAAATCATGGATCAGCATACTTTGGCCCAGCCGTTTGGCCATGTTTAGATTTCGTATACCATGCATAGAATATGCTTCAAAAACTGACCCACATCGATCCTCGAATCCCCTGCCCAGCCAAATTTCCGTGTATATATATATATGCAGGAGATAGCCCTCCTGGAAGTTATATCTTACCAGCGTGAAATGCGCCGCCACCGACGCCCCCGACCCAAATCCGACGAGGAACTGAGGAGTTCCTCCAGGACCGTACTTTGGCTGGACAGTCCACTCGTGCGAATGTAATAAATGCGTGATCAACTGCCCCATCCACGTCGCCAGCATCACGTTGTTGACCACTGGAATTCGAACCATTAGTTGGCATTATTCTGTATGCCAGCGATATTGTAACTGTGTTCAGTCGAAATTCGAGCACATCGAATAAATATATAGTGGTTGATTGGACAAACGGATGTGACTAGTCAGTGTTGACCAATAAACTTGTACTCGGTGTACAGCGTAATAAAAGAGTAAGTATGCGGTGGGCTCAAATACTCAATAGTAATTATATATTTCCGTACAAAACTCTTAAAGGAAGATCTGTACATAACGGGCACTTGAAAGTCCTGCATTTCTAAAATATCCGCATAAAGTCGATCGTATTTATACATAAACAATCACAAGGCCATCCATTTGGCCGAAAAAAGCACACTATATCTGAACAAAAACTGCACAGAGTCTTTCATTTTTCGATTTATCTACCTATACAAGGTAGGATCCAAACTATCTCTCGACGTTCTAAGAAATAAAAATATTAAGTGAATGTATGATTCGTTGAATTTATTCCACATTTTCAACGTTCTTTCGTCCTTAACGAGTATTGAATTAACATTCATTCTAACCAAAATAGATTAAAAATATCAAGTAAAAAAACTAATAAAGAGTAATAAAGAATTATGAAAAACAGAACCAGTTTGGTAGGTGTAGATGATACCTGTGGCGCTGTCCATTCGACAGGGGTGGCCTATCACGAGAACCTTGGCCGACGTGTACATTTGAAAGAGAGGCTGGAGCGCCGCTTCGACCACGTCGAGCGTTTGAAACACATCAATTACAGCAATCAACTTGACACCCAGTTGGGATTTCGGTGTTTTCAGGTGCCGAGTCACTTGGCTATGGTCTAGGGCTTGGGCTTCCCCCGTCCACCGCATGCTGTCTTCCACGGCGTCCACGGGAGCTGTCAAGATGGCATACCTATCGAGGTATAATTTAAACATATTGAAATATAGTCAAAAAATTTAGGTAGGGTCTAGATGATACAAAAAATGGCCTAAAATGGCCGTGTTTCGAATACAAGTTGCCAAAATCTAAATATTCCATTTTTCGAGATTTTGTGCGTCTGGATGCCACCAGAGTTCAAACCTAAATTCTTGAGAATCGGGTATTTTATGGCATAAATATATGGACCGATTTGGACCACTTTTTTATGGAGGTTGTGTTCACGTTGAAGTTTGCACTTCAATCCATACTTCAACTGGCATCCATACAATTTTGTAGATACTTCTTTTCTGCTTTTTTTCATGGGATATGAGACTTTAGGAAAGCAGACTTGCCAAAACGGTGTATGTCATAATGTTTTGGGATGGCATCAGACCAGCCCTTAAACAAAAAATGAAAGCTTTTTTCCATATTATTTTCATTTACACCGATTTAATTGTCAAATCCGTTGATTTTGTTCCAATTTGAATTTCCCAGTAGAATTGAATGAATTTGGCACATGTGTTTTAGAACGACCTGGCAAATCAAATTACACTATTGAGAAATTTGAGCAATCATCGCCATGATTACAGTTTGGCGCAGTAGTTTGGCCCAGCCAAAAGTACAGGTTTAAATATGGATATCAAACATTATAATCTGACACAAATCAATTCGTGAATCACCAGACAAGTACTCCATATGTCAGCGAAAACGGCAACATTTACAGTAAAGGAAGTACACATGATTATTAGAAGCTGGCTGTATCGATTTTCAATGCACGAAATCATATTATATTCCGATTGAATAAGGTCCATTTGAAACCAAATGTACTGTACATGAATCCAGCCTCTTCATACCGTAAATCGACGTGGTCGTTGACAGCATACACTTGACATCGGGTGCCATCGTAGGTCGTTTCTGGAGGTGGGGTCGACGGGCGCACGGGCGGGGACGTCGCTGGCCCGTTGAGACCCGTGTCGTCACCATCTTCGTCTTCGCTGAATAATCCATCCTTAAAATCGTTACGAGGTCCCAAATGCAAGGGCGATGGTTTAAGGTTCTTGGACAGTTGTTGGAGTTCTTTCAACGCGCGTTTGCTGCGGTCGTGTGCCCACTGGGGCAGCCCCTGGGCCTGAGCCACACGCTGTTCCGTCGAAGCTTGAGTGGGACGTGTATGATTGTCCTGGGAGAGCTTGTGTCGTTTGGCCTTTGCGTTGGCGACGACTGGGTGTTTCGGTGGCTTTTTCCGTGGCTGTTTAGGCAGCTATTCATGGTCACTAACTAAGAGAGTAAACCGGATGGATTGGTCTGTGTTACCTGTATACATAAACGATGAAAGTCTTGTACGGTGAGATGTGTCGTGCTCGTATCAGACAACTGACGAAGAAGCAAGCTCGCGGCTTCGACACTCAGCGGAATGCCCAACGTCCGCAGCCCGAGGATGAACTGCGACAAGTCCACCACGCCTTCGCCCGTCGGATCAAAGTGACCAAACGAGTCTTCTACAGAGATACCTCGTTCGATCGCCGCAAGCAACAGCTCGCGCAGCGTCGCCGCCGCTTCGCTGCACTTAAAATGGACCTGCGACATACTGACAGTCGTCTGTCTCGTCACTGGATCTTGAACAATCAAATCCGGATAATTGGAGTGTCGTATCCAGCATCAACGTAATTCACCCTGTACAATTCAATACTACGTAGTACTCATTACTAGGTAATGCATCAATTGTTGACACTGTTTTTGGTCAAGTTTTGGCCATGACTTCAAATCCCAGTAGCTCGAGAAACGAGAACGATTATTTTAATGCTGATAGCACCACAAGAGAATATAAAACGCCACCATTTTTTTTATGTATCATTGAGCATGATTAGGCTACATTTCAGATTTGTATCGAATCTGAAATGTAGTACTTCCATGCATCACGTAGCTATGGACAACTGCCGTGACGCTCTCGTAGGCATGTATGGCGGGACAGTGTCAAGTGTTTCTAGTTGACACTCTATTTAAATACTTGTATTTTTTATCTGAGATTGAAAAAAACTGACCAGATTCTGACACTAGCATAGAAGGTTTTACGTTTTTGCATTGTGGGTTAAACCTAAAATATGATCATGTTAAACCTCAATATATATGTATGCGTTTTATTTCTGCCAAAGTAGGTTAAAGTGTATATGCGTACGGATACAATTTGCATACTAAAATCAAGGTAACCTTCGTGGCCAAAATCTTCTGGCCCTGTACTCGAGTACTAAGTATTAAAGTACCACTTGGTTTTTAAAGTCTACACCTCGACCAATTCTCGCCAAATTTGATTTTGAGACGTAAGATCTCTTCACGACGACGAGATCTGTCGAGCCTACATCTCGTTTTACTTCAATTTTGAGAAATGAATATGAATTAGCAGCCAGACGGTTTTGTGAAATATTGGAAGTTTCTAGGTGACGTGCACCATACCGTTGTACTGGTTTGAGCTTCAAGCTACCATGACACCATTGTAGCACACCATCGATGCTACCGCTAAGCTTGCTTGGCTTTCGCTTGTTGTGACTATCACAGCACCACTGCACAGGTTACAGTAGTACGGAACGACCCTGGTACCTGTCTACAGTGTAGCTACTCGATCTGTCCTCCTAAGCGAACGATTCGTATGTTTAGTGACGTACAGTAGTTCGGGACGACACCGGAACCTGGCTAAAGTGTAGCCGCTCGCTTACTCGTGCCCCAACCACCGCTCCTGTGACCTTGGCATGTGCTCTCCAAATAACGCTTCCAATACCCACGCCAACCCAACCTTTTTATGCAACCCCAGTGACCTCAATACTTTCGTGGCATGGCACGGAAAAAGCTATCGCTCCACTAACTCTGAGACCGTAGAGTATATACTGTATCTTTGTGAATTCAATTATGAATCAAACTTGAGTGCTTAAAAAAATGGAGACCATGAATGTGGTTCTTGGGTACAGAATGACGTGAATCAGGATAAATTTGTTCGGATACTGTTGCTACCCCAGCATTCTGCGCCTAAAACATCGAGATATGCAGCCATGTGAGTGTTGCCATGGCGAGTGAATCACGGACAGATAGACGGGTGAGCTGGCACGATCAACCTAGCAGGCTCAACTACACCTAATAGGGAGCCCAGGGAAAGCTGGTTGGCGATGCCCCCCTGATATCTTTGTCCTAGTGCCTATAAGAACGACGCTGTCTGCGTCAGACCACTCCGGTCATATTTATATGGTCCCATTGATCCACCATACTTTCACCATATATGTGCAACCAGAATGTTTGAAAGTTTGATGTCTATTGTAGTCAACTCTGGTGACCCCCACAGTGGATACGTTGTCGTCCGTGTTCCCACATGTGGTGACGGACATGGGGTAGTTAGTTGCAGTGGAGAAAGTCGTCCGGGGACTTGCGAAATCTTTGGTGGATCCTGCAGAAGCTATGTCCATGTCAACTTGCCTCACATTTCAGCTCTCAAGCAAGTTGGTGGGGTTGAGGGGTACCAACTGTCGTTGTGTCCGGGCGAACTCATATGCACATTGAGCTTCGGCAGGTACGTGGCGACCAGTATATGACCTTTCTTGAAGTTGATATGTTGTTCGTTACGTGTTTCTTTCGGACTTGTTGTGAGTTCATGTGTCCCCCTCAAGTCCTGTAATTAACACGTTGTTGTTGTATGTACTTGTGTAAGCTGTCGGTGCAATGGTGACGGAAGAAATACCTGATGGTAATGATGTAAATTTAGGCATGTGTTGTGTGGGTTAGTAGATCCCGATGAGACTGGAGAAGTGTTAGAACTGTGTCAGGGGATGGTAAGCCTTCGGCTTGTCGATTGGCGCTGGGTGACAGTCTTCTATGTTGAATCGGGTAAAAAGTTCGTGCACGAACATGGCTTGGTCTAACTTGAGGCATTTGAGGGCACGAATTTGGGTAACATTGATGCCGAGGATGAACTGAAGGTCGCCATGTCGGTCGTGGTGATTCGTGCACAGATCTGCGATTTGATGCGAGCCATGGGGGAAACGTCCTTTCCGGCAATCATCATATCGTCAACATACACAGCGAGGTATGTGGTGACCCCCATATCGCTGGCCGACTGAATGTAGGTGCATTGATCTTTGTAGATTGGAGTGAATCCGATCTCGGCAAGAAGGGATGCAGCTTTTGTATCATTGCGAGGCGATTGCTTGCTTGAGGCATACATGGCCTTCTAGAGACATACCATGTTGGCGGAGCCAGGTATATTATATTCCTCAGGTTGGGACATGTAGCTGACTTCATCAATGATGCCGATAAGGGTTATCCACTTGCATGGTTCCTAAGTCTTGGACGGTTATGAGTTCGACGAAGGGTATGAAGGCGTAGGACATGCATCATGGTATATGTGAAGTCAATATCGGGAATCTGTTGCAAGCTTTGACCCATAGGCGGGCTTTGAACTTTTTGAGGGCTCCGTTAGACAGGTACTTGACTTTCCAGATCCACTTGCAGTGAAGGGCTTTACGTCCAACCGGTAGACGGGGAAGCTTCCTTGTTGTCTTGTAGGGGCTTGAATTCGGCGTCCATGACCATCTTCCATTGTTGTGGGTTGTTCGCAAAGCTCGTGCATCGTTGTTGGCTCAAATATGTTGGCTGTGGCGATGGATTCCTGTCCTGCTACGTTTCTAACTTGATTCTTGATAGCAATGTGTAGACTTGACGGCCACTTCGTTGTCGAGACGGTGCAGGGGCGCTTCTGGGCCATCCCTGAAGAAGTAGGTTGTGAAATGGAGTCGTCCTGGGCATGTGGAGTCGATCGTGGGACGTCTGATGCACGCAGCGCCGAATCAAATTTTACTGCCACCGTGTCGTGTGCGATGAGTGTGCCATCAATGAGCCCAAGGAGATGTTGTATTCGAAAAAATAACACCAGAGTGTTGCTGGAAGGCCGGTGAGGAGCTAGCCAGTTGATTCTCCAAATGTGAGGTAAGCTCGACGAAGTGCATAATCGCCTCATTCTTCTTCCTTAGCAGACGTCCAAATTGTAGCATGCATTTTAGTGGATGATCATGTTTGTGTTCTTCTCGTGATGGATGATCATGTTTGTGTTCTTCTCGTGATGGACAGTACGGGGGCAAATCGTTCCACACAGATCGCCGTTCACGCTTTGCAGCGGGCGAGGGGTGAAGAAGTGGTATGTGCTTCGGAACGACATTTTTCTCGCTTGACCTTGGATAAATCCATAGCAAACCTTCTTGTGGTACTTGGCGGTAGCCGTTTCGACACCGGGGCGCAATGTCGGCCACAGTGGTTCAGCATGTTGTGCCACTCGATTAACTTCACATCGGTGGCCTTCGTAGTGATGTCATGACTGTTGCTTTGACGAGCGGCTTGTGGATGGTCATTGCGCGTGGCCCCTCGCGTGTTTCCCTGGTGCCCCGAACGGAGTACATAGAGATTGTTTTGAATCGCAACTGATGATGTGTCTGGTCGTTGACATACATAGCGTCTTGCGGCTCTTGTGAAACTAAGTTGTAGCTACTCCGCAGGAGCCGCACAGGTGGTATGAGGTTTTTATACAGCGTAGGCTCTTAGGTTACGTTTCTTAACATGCGATCATTGGACTGGCCATCATCGCCAAGGTCGATCCAGGCTTGACCCACTCGGTTGGAGAGTAGGGTGTTACTGGGCAGAATCAATTTGTCCAAGCCGTGTCATGACTTGATCAGGTCAATGTTGCCGGTGACGTGCCCGGTGGCACATTTGTCCAGCTCCAGTGAATCTACACCGCCAACGTGCCTGCGTGGTATTGACGTGAGTGATGTCGATTGCGTTTACAGAGTACGACGGGGTGTAGAATCGGTCGAAGTCGCTCGAATCGGTCAAGTCACTAGAATCGGTACTGTTTTTGCGCTTGGACGAACGTTGAGCTGGGTGAAGTTGTTTGGTCTTTCGACGCTTCTGAGACCATCAGGGTCAAAATCAGGATGACCTGGGCGACATGGTCTCCACGTTTGCGACAGATGAAGCATAATTTCTCAACAATCGTAGATCGGGATGGTAGCAACTACGTGCGTGTATGCAGAGGGTTCATCTTGAACGCGGCGGGGTCCTTGTCCTCGTATCCTCGCCAGGCATGAGGCGTATAGCTGATGTCTTTTGCGCGGAATGTGTATTTTCTCTGACTGTGGTAAATGTATTTCTTCTTCATTGAGTACTACGTTGATTAGTGTCTTCAAGGTGACTTTGTGGTCGGGGGTAGGCTTCAGGTGATTCATGAAGGTATTGTAGTTGTCACGGCCAACGTCTAGGTGCAAGATCAAGATCCAATCCACTCGACTGTTTCGTATTCGCTGATGACTTTCCCCATATCACTGATATCACGGATTGTAGAGCGAACTCGGGTGATATGTTTAATCATGTCTCACTTTGGGTCGTAGCGGATTTGACCGAAGCGGTGTAACTCGGACTATAGATTGTCTTCCGCCATTCCTCGATTTCGATGTTGGTCACGAACCAGGTCCACATTTCGACGGACCTGATCTCCCAGACTAGCTCAAACATCATGTTCTACAGGCTCGTCGAATGGTAGAAATTCGCGATATTGACTCGACCTTTTTAGTGTAACTTCTGCACCTCCGATGCCACATAGCATCGTGGGGTGTTCGTCGTTTTTCAAGATAGCAAGCGTTTGATTGCAGTAAATGGGTCGACGGCGACGCTATCATCTGGAGCTTTCACGACGGCACTGGAGCTGGTGTTGATGGCGGTTCTCTAGTGATTTTAATTATGACACTTGAGTGCTTAAGGTAAATGCGACCTGGAATGTAAAGGCTTCTGTCGAATCACCTCTGTCTGATTGGTTAGGTACTGAATGATATGAATCCAGATAAGTTTGTCCGGTTCCCTATTAACTACCACAGCTCCAATATCCTGATCAGGAGTTGACATAGTAATGAACCCCAATAACGGACTCACTGTCAGGAACCCCAGCAATCATAATCACAACTACTGTACCGTTTTCCACGGCAAAGACCGCTAACGTTACCGTTCCTGTACTTTGACTAGCACCCACTACCATTTTTGGTTAAGGCCTTTGAAAATACTATTGACGTGTCCGACTATTCATAGGCCAAATTTTCTTGAGTTTCACCTTTGAATATTTCAGTTGATTTTTCGAATTTTGCAGTGAAACTTTCAGTTTTGGATAGACTACGTACGTACGACGTCCTTCTTCGACTGAGCCATAGTTAAAGAGTTCAGGGTTGCACAATTAATTTTTGAAATAACGTTATTGAAATCGTAGGTTTTTTTATAGCTACGATTCGACTACTATTTTATATAGGTCTTTGCAATTTAATCAGGTATTACTGTATGTATAGGAGTAATTTTCAACACAACATGAGGTACTGTACCTATAACGAATGCAGGCTTCTTTGTGGGCCATAAATCGCAAGCACCTCTGAAATGATGGATCCATCCGATTGCAGATGCACTTTCGATCGATGAAGGATCCGCTACAGTACAGTAGTAGGTAGGCAAACTCAAAGGTTGGAATCTTTTCATCAGTCAGATATAGTTTTGCGCTGAATCACACTATAGTTAGATGAACAAGACAGTTTCACTTTCGTTATACAAAGGCTGACGTGCAGATGGTGGAGGACTCGACGGATGCCCTCGAACAAGAGTGGGCAGCGTCTGTGGTTCAACGCACTTGGAGACAATACACCGAGCGCCAGTGGTCGAATTGGCGCACCCAATCGGCCGCCCAAGAAAACACCTCTTCCAACGACGATATCCCTCCATGGACTTCCAGTGACGAACTTGTACAAGCTTTGGGCGCCAACTCCAGTGATAACGGCGAGGAAAACGAAGTCGTGTTGGACGATGCCACTCGCAACTGCCCGAATTCAGGCCCAAGCTCGTCCGTGGAATTTGATATCGGTGTTATGGAAAGCCAACCAGCCAACGATATCATGACACCACCCTGCACTGGTAGTTCATTCACAAAGGTGTCGTCCGTCGACATACCTAAACGAGGAGACAGCAGTGTTATTGCTATTCCAGGTACGCTCAACCCATGATGCCATGTAATCTCAACACCTTGATACTCTGGTACATTGCACTTTACAATTGTTTTTCTTGATGTCGTCAAAATTCGTAGCAGCAGGGTTGGGCGTAGTGGAGGCCCGACTGGAAGCGGATGAGTCGTACCAAACCCTCAAAGCTAAGGAAAGCGTGCTCGATCTACAAGTGCACATACTGGTGCAGCAACAGCAGGCGCTGGTGGCCCAGCAGCGAAAACTGCGCGTTCTCAAGAGCCAGCAAGAGCGAGATGCCAAAGCAAGGAAAAAGATGGCCAACCTGCGCGCAAAGCAGTGCCAGGAGCTGGAGGCGCGGCGACAGGAGGAAACCGACAAATTCCGGGCACTGGAAACTATGGCGATTATCAAAAATGTGGACAACCACCCCCAGCCCATTCCAAAGCCCCACAAGAAACGGATACAACCCCCCGCCGCTCCCACTCCATCGTTGCACCAACACACTGACGTGCCGATTCCGAAAATGAAAACCTACCCGAGGCTTCCTGGCTTGCAGGTAGGGAATACAATTACCGACATCGGTATTTTTAATGCTTGGAGTCTTATTAGTTTTTGACCTATCTTTGGCCACAATACATGTTGTTTACTGGTGCCACTCAATGAATATTCGACAGGGTTCGTCCCACGAAGACTTTGACGCCGACACTAAACCCAAGGCTATCGCTGACAAGACGAGTTCTCTAAGCAGCGAACGCAAGGCCGTTGCATGCTACGCGCAAGATTTAACGCCATTGGTCACTGGCAACAAACCAAGACGCCTCAAGGTCACAGGGCCACGAAATCACCAGCCGCATAACGAACGTACCAGGACCAACAAGGCCAAGGGGAAAATACCACATCCGTCGAAAATCAAAGGTGTCATGTCGTCGTCCACCAACGAGCGGATTGGCAACCAATTCGACGATCTCGACACTCCACCACCGATTACAATTCCTCCCTTCTACACCCACACCATTGTATGCATTGTACTTAAATATATAGATATTTACAGATGAATTCTCCCAACTTGTGTAGTCCTCCAAGGCTCCCCCCACCAAATACATGATGATGTCGACGCCGTTGACGGCAGAAATCAAACACATTCCGTGGGCGTCGACGTACTCAAAGGAATTGGAAACGCCCCTGAGTACCATGCAACAAGACTTCACGCTGCAGTGCATATTGAAGCAGCACTCAACAACCCCATCTTCGGGGTTGAGTGGATTGACGGCAACTCCAGTAATGACTGGTGCCGAAACGTCAAGCAGCCCCTCTGTCAGTCTCAAAACGACATCAGCATCAGCAGCGGTACCATCAATGGTAGCCACAGCAATTCCTTGCATTTGTACATATTTCTACACATATTTACAATGCTCGTTTAAATAGACAGGATGTTCTGACGGCAAATTGGGGTTGGTACCAACCCTTTCGATCCAAAGCAATGGTGGTGGGCCGACGGTGTCAAGACGAGTCTATTTACTCAACAAGTACGGGAAAACCGATGCGGACGGAGTGGCCTTTCCAACGCCCGCGATTGTTCCGAACTCTCAACCACTACATACGTCCAACAACAGCAATCCTCCCGCTGACCCAAACTGGCAATACTCGAGTGACAGGCTGCAGTCCATATTGGCCAAGTACAAAATCGCTACGACTAGTTCCACCACCGCAGAGCCTAAGCAGTCTCGGGCCACCGAGCTATTGCTAGCGAAATACGCCCCCACCGCCACATAATACAAAGCATCATCTAAAGTTTGTCAAACGACATCTTGGCTCGTTGTTGCAAGGCATCAAACAAAATGCAGCAACGTTTGCAGCAACTATGAACGACTGTTTTATGGAGTTTTAGGGCCAACCAACGGTAGCTAGCGACTCAAGTGGCAGTATTGTATTGCCCCCAGCTGGCAGGAACAGTACACTGCTAATTAGTATACGTTGTAACCACTTGGAGGGACGGGATGCGTTGAGGGAAGGCAAGGTCCATGTATTCACGAGAGTTTTCCTTGTAGGCTTGCCCGATTGCACCGAGCCCACCGCCTCTTTGCGCATCCCCATCGATAGCGACGTCGGTGAAAACCATTACATATGGGGCCCCAGCCCCCCTATTGTTGTTGCGCCCAACGCCACGTACTGGTCCAGCGAAACCTCGCACAAGTTGCCCACTTGGTTGTACGGTGGAGAGGTCTTCTCAACCGCGAACTACTCCGTGGGGGACGTGAGGGTCGCGAACCTCAAGGGCGAAGGCACCTCATGGACCTTGCCTTCCCTCAACAAAAATCGCATCCCGTCCCTCCAAGTGGTTGCTACGTATACTAATTAGCCGTGTACTGTTCCTGCCAGCTGGGGGCAATAAAATACTGCCACTTGTAGTCGCTAGCTACCGTTGGTTGGCCCTAAAACTCCATAAAACAGTCGTTCATAGTTGCTGCAAACGTTGCTGCAATTTTGTTTGATGCCCTCCAACAACGACGCCAAGATGTCGTTTGACAAACTTTAGTTGATGCTTTGAATTATATGGCGGTGGAGGCCTATTTCACTAGCAATTGCTGGGAGGTTGGCTCGAGATTGGATGGGCTCTGCGGTGGTGAAATTAGTCGTAGCGATTTTGTACTTGTCGAATATGGATGGACTGCAGCCCGAAACCCGAAACCTCGAGTACTGTTACGCCGGGATTGCTGTATTTGGAAGTGTGTGGTGGTTGAGCGTTCGGAACGGCCGCGGACGTTGGAAGGCCACCCCGTCCACGTCAATACTCCCGTATGAGTTGGGTAAATAGTCTCGTCTTGGCACCTTCGGCACACCACCATTGCTTTGGATCGAAAAGGGTTCGTACCTACATACCCCAATTTGCCGTCTGTTTAAACAAGCACTGCATATTTAAATGTATGCAACGTTATATAAATATAAAGAAATGCAAGGAATTGCTGTGGTATGTGTTTGATTTCTGCCGTCAAAGGCGTCGACATCATCGTGTATTTGGTGGGGGGCATTGAATGACTACACAAGTGGGGACAATTCGTTAATTAACAGTAAATATCGATACATTTGAGGAAGCTACAAATACATCCAAATATATGACAAACCAATAATACTCCAAGCGAAGACAATATCAGATGTCGGTAATGATATATCACCCACAGATTGTACCTACAAGCCGGGAAGCCTCGGGTAGGTTTTCATTTTCGGAATCGGCACGTCAGTGTGTTGGTGCAACGATGGAGTGGGGGCATCGGGTGGTTATATCAGTTCCTTGTGGGGCTTTGGAATGGGCTGGGTGTGGTTGTCCACATTGTTTACAACCGCCATAGTTTCCAGTGCCCGGAATTTGTCGGTTTCATCCTGTCGCCGCACCTCCAGCTCCTAGCACTGCTTTGCGCGCAGGTTGGCCATCTTTTTCCTTGCTTTGTCATCTCGCTCTTGCTCTTGAGCACGCGCAGTTTTTGCTGCTGCGCCAGCATGTGCACATGTAGAACAAGCACGCTTTCCTTGGCTTTGAGGGTTTGGTACGACTCATCCGCTTCCAGTCGGGCCACCACCACGTCCAACCCTGCTGCTACGAATTTTGACGACCTCAAAATGACGATGTCGTTGTATCAGCTGAGAAGGCAGATCCTGGTCGTCGTGTGGCTGATCATGCAATACTACTACTGCGTACTAATCATGATAAGTATCAAGCGTACGAGAGACAGTTGTGTTGTCGACGTGGTGTCAATAAGGATTGCGCTGTCGACGGATGCCGCCGGTCATCACTCGCATCCAACTTTACGTCCCTCTGGGGATTTAACATTCAATTTACTGTCAGAAACTTTCGGAATAGATACCATTACCATCTCCATCGCTAAGGGCAGAATACACCCAACGTTAGGATAATCGCCAATATGTGAGTATATCATCGAGATTGTCGTTTCAGCGAAACTGCTACTGTCGCCATTGCATCTGTAACCGACAAGAACCCGACCACCACTTCATTCAAGAGCCACCATGACGACGGTGGAAAAGACTGGCGTCGTTCGCCCATTCGGCATCAAAACCGGCCTGAAGTCGGCAACGGCTCGAAACGCCGCGCTGACCCCTCGTCGGTTCAAGAAGTTTTCCATCTCCGAAACGTGGCTCCCTCTCAAGGTTTGCCTTGCCAATCGACCCCCACACGTTTCTTTATGTGTGAGTGGACTCATTCTTGTAGAAGTCAACTCCAGCATTCGATTGTTTGTTTCCTGAAAACCATTCGAGCGACGTGAAAAAGGTACCGCTGAAAGACGAGTCTCCCTACATTTCGAGTCGGATTTTATCATTCAATGGCATGGAGGCATGTCTTGAAACAATGACGTAGTGCGATACATATACAATCACAATATTGACCTGGATAGATTAAATACGCCACATACCCGTACCATTTCTGGGGCCTGGCACTGATTTTAGCGATTGGGGCGTCCATCTTTGTGTACGCTCTGTCGTCGACGAGCAACTTTCGCATCAAAAAGGGGTTTTGGTGGCAATACGTGATCATCGTGCTGCTGTTTTTGTTTGCCGGCATCAGCTTTTTCGTCCCCCGCATCGAAGTCTTTCGCATGAATCACACGTTTGTGACTGTGTGTCGGCCCAAAACGTACCAGTACCTACTCTGCTTGTACGCCGCCTATGACCCCGCCCCAACTAGTTGTCATAACACATGCACTTGGGTTGTAGGACCCGTGCGCTGGAACTAGAACGCAAGCTAACCGAAGTCGTGTCGATTGGAGTCGAAGAATCGGTATGTATGTATGTATAGTAGCAACCCCCCCTGATTCGATACTGGGGGGGGCATCATTGAACACTTTCCACTTGTTTAGAATCGGTAGGGGCTTCATCTGTTGACTTGACGCTATGTAGGGCGAGAAAATGGGCGAAGTAGACACACGTTTGTACAGTATCCGCTTTGACTTTACAGACGGCACGGTGGAAACGCTTCTCGAGCAATGCTCGAAACGAGTGGCCATTCGACGCTGTCGCAGTTTGAACTTTCTCTTGGCTGCGTACACTCCTGGGTCGCCCCTCAAGCCTAACAAGGCCAACGCTAGCTCGGTGGATTTATCTCCCGCCGTTGTGACTTAAGTCGAGTGGAAAAAATATATACATATGTATACTTACTTACTTATAAAAAAATGTACTAACGTATGTAGTACTAGTATACACAACAACCGTGACAAGCCCTCTCGTGCCTTTGCATGTGTAGTTTGCTTCAACGGGCGACTATTGGACCAAAATGCGAGCATGTGGACTTTGGAGAGAAATTACGAATCTTGTTATTGGCACATCGATTCGAAACTGGAGCCGCCTGCAGAAATGGTATATAAAAAAAAAGAAGTATAGTTTGTACAAGCTCATTCGAATGCCATTTGGCGAAATGAACCCCAAGTTCAATTTTGGGTGAAATACACAGTAGCTCGAGTACTACGTAATACTATTAATGTGCTTTGTACCTTTTTTGGCAATTCCAGGGTTAAATTTGGTTTACTGTTAAAAAATTCTCAGGCTTAAATATTGTGGATTCGATACGAATTTCCAGACCCCGTCGAATCGGATCTCGCCGCGAATTGAATCACGAATCAACGCTATTGGCTAATCCATTTTTGAGTGGATTTGATTGGCTCTTGCAGAAAGGACAAGTATATTCAACCAATCAGAACTCCGGCGTGATTCGATATTGATTCGACAAACCAGGCGAATTTTGGAAGTTTATAGCGAATTCAGAATAACGTCTAAAGTAACTTAAATAGCGGTTGGGTGCGTTGTTTAAAGTTACTTCATCTAATGCGATGATTGGTTGGTTGAAGGTGGGTTTTACAGGCACTTTCGTAAAACAAGTTGTTTGCCGTTTTCATTCTGGCAAACAACTTGTTTTTACGTCAACATGTCAAGGTGCTTGCCGCAATGAAATTGAAGCAGATATGGCTACATACATGACCTCCCATCCGTGATCACTACAAACATTAACTACACCGAGTAAGTTATAACGTTAGGGATATAGTTGGGCTAGTCGTCTAACCTTAGCACTGTACGTGGAAAGCGAGGACTCTCTACAATTACACGATGTATAGTACTCCCATTTCACATCCTAATACGGTATGCATCGTGATGAACTGGTGGTTAGCGGCAGAAATAAAGTAAGGGTTGTCTTATTCTGCTGAAATGCAGAAGTTGGGTTAAGCGTTGTTTTATCTTCAATCGGGCTCATATATTTTAAACGTCTGGTTGTTTCAGTTAAACAACGGGCAAATTACATACATAAGGGTATTATTTATTAGTACTTCGAAGTATTATGCATTCGATTCGAAGTCGACTTGAAGCACAATTTAATACTATTGTATGGGTCTCTGGTATGAGTCAGACACAAGTGGCTCGAAATACATCCGTTTTCATCCATTTTCAATGCAGGTGGTCAATAAGTCATTTCTTCTAAGTGTCGTTATAGTTAGCAGATAACGTTTATCTTGATGCAAATCGGTTGTATAGAAATATAATTCGAAAACGATTAGGGTTAAATTCAACTATTCTAATTGGACAAAAAGGTCCGTTTCCTTGAGCAAGTGAACAGAAAAATTACCTTTTAATGTTTAACGCATAGGTTTTATCCATGACGACTAGCCGACTAGCCAATGAAATTGATTCAACCCAAAAGTACTCGTGATATAAATATAAGATAATACTACAGTACCTCCGATTGGATATGATTGATAGGTTTCACGTTGTAGAGCCTTGAACAATTGTATCTCAGTCAGAATAGGTTTTGCCTTGACAATGGGTATACTTGCTTTTAGAGAATTTCACTAGAAATCCGATTTCAATGCTTAGAGAGTCCAAATTAGAATAGCTTTGAAGTTATGGTCAAAATCGATCTGGAATGATGCTCAATTTTCACTGTGCTTCCGTGTAATTTCTATACACCTATATCTGATTTCTCCTGAACTTATCTGGTTATAGAGGTTTAGGTGGAGATACTATAATAACGTTAGTCTGGTATCGCAAATATGACAACACCTGTGCAGTATAATATAATGATATTGGTACGTAACCAGTAAACCTACCAATCATTTCTAATCGGAGGTAGTATAAATTTCGAGAAAGTATTGTGAATTTCCAGACCCCGTTGAATCGATTCTGGCTGCCGAATCGAATCACGAATCAACGCTATTGGCTAATCCAATTACGTAGTGGATTTTGATTGGCTCTTACAGAAAGCACAAGTATATTCAACGAATTAGAACTCCAGCGTGATTCAATATTGATTAGACAAACCACGCGAATTTTAAAAGGTTTTAGCGAATTCACAATAAAACTACTGGCTTTCTGTATGGAGTGCCGCTCGTGATTTACCACCAATCAGAATACTCGTGGAGAAAATACACATTTGAAGCCAGGCGACCAATAGAGTAACGGCTGATCAAGCCCAACCAAGGACGTTGAGTTTCGTCATCGAAATCACTCAACAGACACTACAAAAAACGACGTTGTTCGAAGGATAACCTATTTTTAACGAATTAATCGGCCCAGTTGAGCGTACGGTCGATGGCTTTCTTCCACTCGGACGTGAGCTTGGCGCGGGCGTCCTCGTGCATCTCGGAGCGCCAGACCTTGGCAACGTGCCACGTGTTGACCAACTCCTCCGTGTCCTTCCAAACGCCCACGGCCAACCCCGCCGCAAACGCAGCTCTAATAATATCATACAATAATAGGAAATATATATATAGTACAATATCTCGACAAAACTGGTCATCACAACATAGTTCGTTACACGCACTCCCATCATGCAATTCACGCGTACATCTGTTAATTCAATATGATTATCAATATAAAAGAACACGCATTGAGACCCAAAAGCAATATATATATATATATATATATATATTGTAAAATCCATACACCCATTACCACCATCGTACACTCCACGCCAAGGGTATTATTATTATGTATGAGTCATCATCGTCATCACGTACCCCAATGCCGTGGTTTCAGACACGACCGGCCGCACGACTTTGGAATCCAACAAGTCTGCCTATATCAAGAAAAAACAAACACATAAATATATATTTATATATATAATACATATATATATATGTCCATACAATCTCTGCTTTTGTGGTTTCCACAATCCACCAATATATGTTCCTCGATCCATATATACATACCTGAATTTGCATGAGCAAGTTGTTTTCAATCATTCCGCCGTCCACACGCAAACTTGAGAGCTCAATCCCCGCCTCTTCTTGCATCGCATGGACCACATCCATCACTTGAAACGCCACCGCTTCCAGCGACGCGCGAGCCAAATGCTCCCGGGTCACGTACCCCGTGAGTCCGCAGATGATACCCCGGGCATCGGAGCGCCAGTAGGGCGCATATAAACCCGAGAACGCCGGCACAAAATAGCACCCGCCGTTATCCGGCACTGCCAACGCCAGCGATTCAATCTCGGACGGTTTCGATATCATTTTCATGTTATCGCGCAGCCACTGCACGACCTTGCCAGCCACCGCCACACTTCCTTCCAGCGCATACACACACGGAGACGTGCCGAGCTGGTACCCCACTGTCGTGAGTAGGCCCTTGGTTGACGGAATCGGCTTTGTTCCAGTGTTCATCATGAAAAAACAGCCCGTGCCATACGTGTTTTTGGCTTGGCCGGCTTCGTAGCATCTATATGTGTAGTATATTAGTTATTGTCGAAAGAATTCGAGTATGTGTAGTATATTAGTTATTGTCAAGTCCGAGTGTTTGGGGTGCTGCTCTCCAACATTGAAGGAGCAGTGAAGAATCAAAATCAGCGCACGACAATCGATATATTATCGACCAATCCAAAACCAAAATAATGAACCAGTGGCCAAAAACAAATTTCCAATCCACTCGAATGTTCGTGTGTGTGTGTGTATGCAATTAGTGTGATACAGTGGTAATATATATCCAAACTTTGGCTGACACTACCATCATAAGCAATATTTTGGTTCGTGGTCGTGGTTGGCATCGACGTAGGGTAGGTACAGAATAGAATACATTGTAACTATAATAGCATTGATTCCTTGGGGTTTCTTCCAAAATGAATACGAAACAAACGTCTGGTACACGTTTTTCTTGACAGGGTCCACTGGAAAAAGATGATACAAAACGTCTGTCTCGTACGTACGTTTGGCCAAATAAAGCGGCTTGCTGGTCCCCTAACATGCCAGCAATGGGGACATTGGGCAACACAAAATCGGCGGCGGTCGTCGCGTACACTTCCGAACTCGATCGGATTGTAGGGAGAATGGCCCGTGGGATATCGCAAATGCGAATGAGATCTACGACAAAAAAATCAATATACACACTGCAAACTCATAGTGTTGTCAAATCGATTCCAAGCCTTCAGTAGAATCGAATGTCGTACGAGAATGCATTCAACAACGCCTAAGCCAATCAAATCACGTTCTGGTAAATATATTCTGCCAATCCAAACGTTTGACTCGGCCGCATATTGGGCAAAACCATATATATACTATATATATATATATATATTTCTATCTATAGTATAGTTGATACAAGCTTAAATGGGATCGCATGGATTCGAATGCTATTAGCGAAATGACTCACACGAGAATCAGATTGCAGGAAACCAATATCAACAGTGTGACTTTAATTAGTGTGATTGCATTCAATACTGGACAACCTTGTTATATAGAATATCAAAAATCGATCATCCATCGATTTGGCGAATCAGTACACACAAGTCCAAATTTAGGGTCACAAAGGACTATATGGTCATATTGATTGAATGCATACCAACCAGCCAACAGCACATATATATATATATATATATATATGACATGTATATCACCACAAACGCTAGCATTCTATATATATATATAATATATGCACTGTACATACGTTTGCATATACATCCCTCCGATTCAAACTTGGAGTAGGGGTATGTGCATGTGATTCGACCATTCAAAACGCAGAACGCGGATCCAGTAGCCAAGCCAATCCAACCCTCGCATTTATCCTCAAATAGTATTAGTGTGGGATTGAGAAATTAGTGTGAAAATGCGGCAGATACAAAAGCCAATACAGCCCATTTATAACCGATGACAGCATTGCATGCAATCACCATTACCAATCAATGAACCAATCCATCGGTCCTAGCATCATAAACGATATCACCATGTACAAACAACTTCTCGAGACGGTACCGTCACTCCACTGCAACGTGTGCAAGTCCATCAGATTCGTTCGGGACGCATTCGAAACGTCCGTCGCATGCACGGCGCCGCCGCTCAACTTCCACAACAGCCACGTGTCGATTGTTCCAAACAAAACGTCGCCAGCGTCGGCTTTGGCGCGAAGGCCGGGGACGTGGCGCAGCAGCCACATGATCTTGACCGCGGAAAAGTACGTGGCCAGCGGCAACCCGGTGGTGGCGCGGAAGCGATTGATGTCGTGGCCTTGGAGCAGTTCGTGCACAATGTCGGACGTGCGCATGTCGTGCCACACGAGGGCGTTGTACACAGGTTGGCCGGTGACTTTGTCCCACAGGAGAGACGTTTCACGCTGGTTGGTGATCCCGATGGCGCTCACGACGGCGTCCGGGACCTGTTCCATGGTCTTGGCGATGCATTCGTGCACGGTGTCCCAAATTTGGTTGGGGTCGTGCTCACACCAGCCGGGTTCGGATTGAATTTGATCGTGTTCCATCTGATGCGACGCCACGATGTTGCCGGTCGTGTCGAAGAGGATGAAGCGAGACGAAGTCGTGCCTTGGTCGATGGCACCTACGAGCGGAGAAGCGGTCGTCGTTGAGGTCGTCATCGAAGCAATCAAAATTGGAAATAATGCCCAAGGTGCATGATCTTCCGGATAATACCTCGGTGTTCCGGATACGATTGAACGTTGAACTTGCAGTTTGGCAAGCAGGGATGGCCCATGGATAATCTCAGTGGGTACAAAGCGTCGCGTCAACAATAGAAAGCAAAGTGCATACTACTAGTAGTACGATAGTACTAGTAGTGTATACTACGATTAATATTATTAATAGTACTGAGGTTGACAATCAACATGTTGATCAACATTCGAATTAACGTGAGCTTTAGCATTTATGACGAGGTAGGACACACAGCCTGCCTGTTCGATCGAAGAAAGTTGGAGTCTGGAAATTGAATGAGCAGCTACTGTACTTTACTACCAGCTGTCGAAGTCGCGATGTATTTGATAACGTTAACGTTATCGCAAATGGTGCTGTACTATTAATAGTACTACTATAGTACTGTACTATTAATACATGACATGACAAATGTGGTTGTCCAAGCGTCGACATATTGGCACGACTTTCTCGACCAATCATAACGATCGCTGTGGATTTTGAACCAATCAGGAAAGGCAAAACACGTTGTGGATGCGCCCAATGCGTTGCGATGTGGCAAATGCTGCGTCAACATGCAAAATATTCTATTACTCGTTGTGAATGGCTGTGTGTGTGGGTTGACTTAACACTTGAACTTGCCCAGGATGCAAACCCAGATTCGCTACCCGTCAATTTCCACACATGAAACCTCGACCTTTTACACATAACAGCAAACAGACGCATGTAGAAGCCTTGTGCAACAAGTACGTATCGGGGGTCTCGGGACTACTAGTATGTAGGCGGCTTCGTGGTTTGGAGTTGGTTTTTGTGTTCGTCAAGCACAACGTTAATAATGTTTGGATGATTTGTCCAAGCGTTTGAAGGTGTTATTCTGAAGTTAATTGTCCAACGAACGTTAGCTACTGCAAGGGGCAACAACTTTGCCCTGGCCTATCGGGACAGAATCGTTCAGGAGTGAACACACAAGTTCAGTGTGTTGATAGAAGATATACTGGTATGTACTCCGAGTACTGCCCTGTGGCTTCAGGTGCACTTTATCGAGAACTAAACGTTTTTACACTACTGTACTGACAGCACCACGGATGCTAAATCATTCATACACCATGATGAGGTAAGGAATCAACTGTGAAATGTCGTGGCATCAAGTTCGTTTGAACTTGCAGCATTCCTACAAGTAGGCCTGTTTTCTTGAAGGGAAGGGCCCCCAGGTTGCCTCCTCCATCGCGGGGGTACTAGCAAGCATGGGTAGAGTTGATTGAATTTACACAAGAAGGACCAGTCAGTCGATCATCATGCGCAAACCACAAAACCTGGAGCACGTGACGTGACGCACAAGATCAAAATGGCGCTAGTACAACATCAACGTGTGAAAAGACTCACGATGCATTCGAACCCAGTGGCCACCAGTGCTCGATCTGAATCCCGCTTTCGAAGCTAAGTCACTACGACACAACCACATGAATGATAGATACTAGGTATATTCAAACATTTGAACCAATTGCAGCGTTGGTCAGCTCTACTTTTGACCAATCAATAGCAAACGACATATGGATGACACGCATCCGGATACTAATCGATCCAACTTTTTTCGCGAGTAAAATCCGTCGACACACTTTCCATCATGAACGTTATTACTGCATGTTCGTGCTTCCTATGATGACCATCACGGCCGCCCTCGTAGCCGTCCCGTGGACGACTATCGCCGCAGTCTGCCCATATGCAACGCTGCCTTCCTCCTTCAACTCGATCCTTGTGTCGGACACGGCGCTGTGCCCCGCAGCCAACATGACTTGCGTCGTCGATCGAGCTTGCAGGCTTCTTGGCACCCCCGACACGTTGTCGTGGAACGCTATCGGCAACTACTCGGGTCTTCCCGCGTCCAAGACATCGTGGTATGTATGTGTCTAACGTTCAAGCTAGCTAACTGACAGTAATTTCTTCTTGAACGAGGGTATTCAATGGGGGTCAAGCTTGCACCCATGTCAATGTGGCCGTGTTCCCGTCGACCATCTCGTCCTTGTAAGTCCTACATACGATTGCATATTATCGCCATGATACTACTACATACTACTTTTACATGGCATATAACGGTATGGTGCTAAACTTTGGAATTGTTATGCGTGTAGAAAGTTGTCCAATATGACGTTTCCCCCCGAGCCAGTAAAACCATCGTGGCCGCCCAAACTGAACGAATTGTACACACATCCTTACCCTTATTTTCGTCGTATTCTAACGGAAGGGTATGACTAGATTCATAGAAGCGACCAATATTACGGTCATTCCGTCTGCCGTCGACGTTGACCTTGCTGTACGGTATCTTTTTTCTTTTACTTTGAGACTACTTATGAACTTACACTACTTTAGATTCCTTGGTGGCAATTATCTCGTTGACAATGCCGAACTTAAAGCACTACCGCCGTACCTTACCCAACTGTAAGCTCCGACACCTCAAAGATATATACATTTCTCCATTACCCCAAAAATATATAAATATATATTCCCAGTCAATAAAACTTGTAGATCCTTGGAAAACAACGAATACACGGCCTTGTCGAATCTAGACTGGTCCAATATGACGCAAGTGTACGTACGTCATTCTTGTATTTCCCTATTGCAACCGTTAGAAATCATCATCCTAAACACAGTATCATGTGTATATATGTATTTATAAATGTTATTATGTTTCCAATCCAAGTCGATATCTATAAATCTGCTTGTAAAAACGTTCTCTAGTATGAAGCATTGTCAGTATGATATAGGCAAATGTATTGGAGAATGTCGTAGCCAATCAAATTACACGTTTGAGATTATTTTTGAACGAATCAACGACGTTCACAGTTTGACCCCGTGGTTTGGCCCAACCAACCAAACTGCCCAGCCATTTTAAATGTGTATACTATAAAAATTGAGAAGCATAAAACCCGACACAAATCGATTCTCTCGAATCACCTGTCGAGTCCAAATTTCAGCGAAAAGAACTAGTTTAACTTGTCCTCCATCCATAGCTACTTGAGCCGCAACCGAAAACTCGGATCGTTGGCCCATATCACGTTTAGCTCCAAGATCAAAAACCTGAATTTGGAACACGTGGCACTTACGTCTTGGATCATGGACAGCCCCACGTTTGATGCTTTGAATACATCGTTACAACCAAACAACACGGCCGACGACGCGACCTTAACAGACGGTTCCAGGGCCTTTACAGGCTACAACTACTACAACCTGTCCATCACAACCAGTATGACCGACTGTTCGATAAACAAGGGCACCCTCACAGAACTGTGGCCGGACAAGCGATTCCGCAATTTCACGTACAAGGACGCCATGTTCACGGTCTGCGTTGTGCCAAGTATGTGTATACAAATATGCATTTTCATATACCGGTTACCAATTCGCCGATTGCATATTTTCATATACCGATTTACCAAGATTCGTTTCCATATACTAATATCGATGAGGGTATTGGTCTGCCAAATTCCCATAAAGCTGATTCGGGTTTTGGGCTATCACCCAAAAGTTGGACTTTTGTGTGTAAATCCATCGATCGATCGACATTTTTGTGTACTGATTGTTGTATGTACAAAACGTCCACTAGAATATATTATTGACGTGAATCATACGTTAATTCGATGTTGACATGTTGAAGCGGGAATATGATTGGCCATTTGAATAGTATTTCTAGGTTTTCATTGGTCGATCGATGCGATTCGGCGACATCGCCACTCCAATTTTCGATTGGACACTCGTTCATGCCGTTTGAAAATTGGTTGAAGAAGGAATTTGATTGGCCATTTTCATTTTGTTTCTGGATTTTGATTGGTCAATCGATTGCATGCCGATTTGGTGTCGCGTATTCCCCATTCCAATGTCCAATTTCAATGGAACGGACAATCATATGTCATCATCCCACCCTTATGATTGTGCCTTTCACCCAAATTTGGACATGTGTGTGATTTCACCAAATAGTATTCGAACCCATTTGATCGCATTTAAGCTTGTACAAACTATACAGTACAAAGATTAGTATAAATGTGGTGTTTAGTATATATGTGGTGCGGAGGGACTGGGCCGAATCAAACGTTTTTGCGTTGGCAGAAATTCGACAGGACGTGATGTGATTGCCTTAGGCGGTTCTTCTTGAATCCATCCTTCTCTTCACGGTCAGGCATTCGATTATCTGCGTCCAATGAATTTCGAATCGATTTGACAATACTAACTAGTAAGGTAACGGATCGATTTTCTGAACTTGCTATCTAATTCCTGAACGTTTTCAATATCTACCAATTATATTGCGGCATTGTGATCAGATAGTGTGTGATTGGCTATGATAATATTCATGCATGTAATAATATAGAATTGCACACAATGAACTTTGGTACATTTTTATAAATCATGTTGAATAAAAATACCACGAAGTCTTGACCATCAGCAGATGTTACCACCAATGCTGATAGACCCTCGAAAGCTGCTAAGATATAGTACAGAGTTATTCGTGGAACCATGACACGTGGTGTTGAGGTTATCGTGGGTGGGCTTGGGTGCAACAGCTGACATAGTCCTAACCTTTGGCCTCAAAGAGTTGAACTGTCAATGAAATTGTAAATACTTCGTTTTGGTGAAATTTAATTCGCTAGTGGTGCAACATTCAAATACAATCATGGATGAATTTCAAAATATGTACATTGCGTATCTTAATTTCAATCAATACTAAACCCAAGGTATCTCCAATCGTTCAGGAAATAGAGATCCACCCAGAAACTCGTTTCTCTCCAACCCACCGTATCATTATTGCATACAAATCACAAATATCATCTAAAGCAGCCCATTTCAAGTTTAAAAAACGCTTCGTGAATTATATTTCCACACCGTACCCTTGGGTTTTGAAAATTATACTGAGTTGCCAAGCAATAGCCCTTCAAAGTTTGGACCAAAATGGACCCAAAAACCGTTCAGAAAATCGATCCGTTACCTTATGTGGTTTCCATATCGTTTGATTGCATTGTCTTTTGTATTGAATCCATCGAGTGTAGGCACGACCACGACAACTTCGGCCGTGCCCATTAGACCGACCCCATCTAAAACGAACCAAGGACTTGGCACTGGGGCTATCGCTGGCATCGCGGGGGGTGCTGTGGTTGTAGTGGTAGTCGTGCTGTTGTGTTGGTATCGGCGTCGTCCCAACCCAGTTGTCAAGTCGCCCGAGTATTATCACACGTTGAGTACGCCAGCTACAGTCACCACAGTCTCGGCTACGCCCATCCCCACCACTACCACTAATCTCCCACAAGTCAACCTGAGTGCGCTTCAATTGGTTCGAGTTGCCAATGTGGAGGTCTACATTAACCGTATGATTGGCACGGGCGCGTTTGCCAATGTATTCCATGGGTCGTTCCAAGGCCGGGCGGTGGCTGTTAAGATGCTCCTCAAGCGTCGCACGTGGACGGTGTCGCAGATTCAGTCGTTTGTGCATGAGATACAGCTCATGAGCCAGTTTGACTCGCCGTACATTGTCAAGTTGGTCGGGGCGGCGTGGACCCGGGTGGACGACTTGAAATGTGTGATGGAGTTCATGGACGGCGGCGACTTGAAGGAGTATTTGGACACTCATTCGAGCCAAGAGTTTGCCTGGGCTGACAAGTACGTACACCTCCTCAGCATCGCAGACGGACTGTGCTACCTCCACTCGATGAACGTCATCCATCGAGATGTCAAGTCGAGAAATGTGCTATTGGATTCCACCAAAGGCACGAAATTGACGGACTTTGGCATTTCCAAAGAAGATATTCAAGCCACGATGACGGTGGGAGTGGGAACGTTCCGGTGGATGGCGCCCGAAGTGCTACAAGACCAGGGGTATACCATCTCGGCTGATATATATTCGTTTGGTACGATGTGTATTTATTCGATTGATAGGACGAGAAACTAGGACTACTATTGATTGTACTGCATGTTGTAGTTATCTACGGTTGAGTTTATTTTGTGAAATGAGCAAACGTAGGTGGTCACTACTATATATATGGGTTATTGGGTGGTCAATATATATATATATATATATAGTTTGGGCCACTCTGGCTGCCACAAAAAATGTCCGAAAACACCTATTTTTTGCAACTTTTCAGAAATATAATGACAAATTTTCAAATTCGCTTTTGTGTGTTTGGCTACCAAATCTAACATATATAAGGTAACATAATACGTCGAATTTTTACTGTTTTCTGACAGAAAGAAGTTTGAATTGCAACAGTGCAATCTTTACCTACATGTTATTCTATCCATATTTCTGCTTCCATCATGGCATCCAGGGGTCACGTCAAAATATTTTTGCTATTATTGTCTGACCTCCCCTTTGAAAAGGGAATTCTCTGTCAGAATATTACTTGACATCAAATTTTCTGTGGGATCTACACTCGGCCCTATGCTTGTGATGCATTTTGTCTTTTTTCGAAGATATAATAATTCAGTGGTTGGTAGATGTGTATGTGGCCCTACGCATGTATCTATCATCACGATGCTTAAAAATATGGTTTTTGGGTGGTCGTTGGGTCGTAGTATGTCATGTTTGATGCGATATTGGAGTGGTCAATCGAATGAACAGAAAACCAAATCGGCCGACAATCGATCCTCCAATCAAAGCCCAGAAATCGAATCAATGCCCAATCAAATCCTCGCTTCAACCCTTCACACATCGATTTGTTTTCGCGTATGATTTACATTAGTGTGACACTGAACGCTTTTTACATATCGTGATACAAAATTCTGTGTGCAAATGAATCAGCACAAAGGTCCAAAATTTGGCTGAAAGTACAATCTCAATATTGTTGACAATATATATATATATAATATATATGTAGGAATGCTCTTGTCGGAATTTGACACGCATCGGGTACCATATGAAGACATGAAGAACCCCATCACAAGACAACCGATCGCGGATTCAGCGATCGTTTTGAAAGTTGTATCTGGCAGCATCCGTCCGACGTTTACGTCGGAATGTCCGCCGTGGATTCTGGAGCTGGCGGCACAATGCCTGGCATGGGACCCCACTGACCGACCCACGGCCATGCAGTTGTCATATATGATTCGTTCAAAACTGAAGGAAATGTCGTCGCGATTGTTTTCGATATAGAAAGTGAAGCCATCGATATAGTATAATGTAACGAAAAGACCCTAGTACACACACTGTTTTTTCTAGTCGTCGGTACATCGGTATTGAGGCATCGAATTCAAATTCCAATTTGGGCTAAATATAGCCCAAAATCCAGGCCAAGCTAAAGGTGCATATTTGATACAATTTGAAGCTATTCTTCATGAGCAAATAAATATACAATACGCATCAAAACTCGACAACATATCTTCACAGCGATTTGCATATGTCTTGGGTGGTATGGTTAAAACTGCATTGGGACGAATGGATTGGCTGTTTCAGATAGACCTTGGTGTTAATTTGAGCATTTGCACTTAATTTGGACGTTTACGTTAGATCGCATCGGCGTTTGTAAACTTGAGCACAGACTACACATGCGAGCAAGTGGAAACGGGTGTTCATGATAACTATCTACAATGTACTATTTTGCTGGAGGCGATGATCACCGCCGTAGTTCTACTGACCTTAGGAATAACCTTCTAGACTCGTATTGGCTGACCTCTTAGCGTTTTGGCCAAACCTGGGGACGAAATGAAGAATGGAAAAATCTACAGATATATTACCGATAGTACAGTTATAATGTGTCGGCAAACCCCAAGATTATCATCCAGGACAAAAGATACGTACTTATATTTATGGCCTAATAATGTGGCCAAATCACCCGAAAATTGTAAGGATTTTGATTTCGTTTTAAAATTGAATTCCATTTTATTAGAGATTTTCAAGCTGTTTTCTGGCTAAATATCGCGGCATCCACTTGCGTCTATTTCTTGAAAGGGATGGTCCTTTCAGAGTTTGACATGCATTGCATCATTCCGTGCCAAGACAGAAAAATGCCAACATCATGGTGAACCGGTTAACAGACTACTCCACCTTTTTGCGGTTCATTTCAGCAAATATAACTAACAAAGTTGGTGAACTTGGATGCTACGGAGTACTACGTAGCCACTTTCAAAGCCACACAACATGGGCCAAAGTGCAATACACAGTATACCGCTCAGCCCAGACTCAATTCGCGTGTTCACAAGCATTTTTTCTGCATGTAGGTGGCATACGACATCAAACCGACAATTTCGAAGTCGGTGTTTGGATAACCGACTAATTTTTGAATTTTGATTGGTCAGTTATTTTTTAGACAATCCGATTGGGCGATGTAGTTGTCGTGGGAGCAACATATCGTTCACATTAAACATATACGGAATTGCTATTGGTTGAAAATACAGTGGGATCCACATAACAATCACCAAGTTCCCCCAGAAATGTTGCATTGGCTTGAATTTCCAACGAGGAATTTAGAAATGGTACAGTTGATGGAGGAGAGCTCTAGAAGACGTCCTTTAACGTCGCTGCACCACAGCCTCTACAGTGTTTTCTGATGTGCTCTACCGTGGTTTGTACTTCTCTGTCCGGTGCCGTCAGTTGCGCGAACACACTGATGTACCGATTCCGAAAATGAAAACCTACCCGAGGCTTCCCGGCTTGTAGGTACAATCTGTGGGTGATATATCATTACCGACATCTGATATTGTCTTCGCTTGGAGTATTATTGGTTTGTCATATATTTGGATGTATTTGTAACTTCCTCAAATGTATCGATATTTACTGTTAATTAACGAATTGTCCCCACTTGTGTAGTCGTCCAATGCCCCCCCCACCAAATACACGATGATGTCGACGCCTTTGACGGCAGAAATCAAACACATACCACAGCAATTCCTTGCATTTCTTTATATTTATATAACGTTGCATACATTTAAATATGCAGTGCTTGTTTAAACAGACGGCAAATTGGGGTATGTAGGTACGAACCCTTTTCGATCCAAAGCAATGGTGGTGTGCCGAAGGTGCCAAGACGAGACTATTTACCCAACTCATACGGGAGTATTGACGTGGACGGGGTGGCCTTCCAACGTCCGCGGCCGTTCCGAACGCTCAACCACCACACACTTCCAAATACAGCAATCCCGGCGTAAAAGTACTCGAGGTTTCGGGTTTCGGGCTGCAGTCCATCGATATTCGACAAGTACAAAATCGCTGCGACTAATTTCACCACCGCAGAGCCCATCCAATCTCGAGCCAACCTCCCAGCAATTGCTAGTGAAATAGGCCTCCACCGCCATATAATTCAAAGCATCAACTAAAGTTCGTCAAACGACATCTTGGCGTCGTTGTTGGAGGGCATCAAACAAAATTGCAGCAACGTTTGCAGCAACTATGAACGACTGTTTTATGGAGTTTTAGGGCCAACCAACGGTAGCTATCGACTACAAGTGGCAGTATTTTATTGCCCCCAGCTGGCAGCAACAGTACACTGCTAATTAGTATACGTAGAAACCACTAGGAGGGACGGGACGCGGTTTTCGTACAGGGGAAGCAAGGTCCATGAGTCACCGTCGCCCTTGAGGTGCGCGACCCTCACGTCCCCCGTTGAGTTGTTCGCGGTTGAGAAGTCCTTTGTGCCGTACAACCAGGTGGGCAACTTGTGTGAGGTTTCGCTGGTGGAGCCCAGCGCGAACCAGTACCTGGTGTTGGGCGCAACAACAATATAGGGGTCGGGGAACCAACGGAAATCGACTCCACCGCCGTTGTTATCGATGTGGATGCGCGAAGAGGCGGTGGGCTCGGTGCAATCGGGCAAATCTAGAAGGAAAATTCTCGTGAATATATCTGAAAGGGGGGAACTATAGGGGGATGAGTGTATAAATGGGGGGTTGGTTACCGTTGACGGAAGGGCACAACTCTAGTTGCAAGAACATCGACGCGTTGGCAGCAATGTTTTCATACGTACTGACGGCAAACTTGAAATAACCAAGGGACGGACTGCGCTTGCGTGTAATTCGGGGCGGTCTTCGCGTGCGTGTAGTACGGAGAACGACCTCATCAGTTCCTAACGCCGGGGTGCGGAATCCAACCGCCCATTTTTCGTTTGAGTAGATGGAGACGCCCTCGAGGACGGGCGCGGGGTTGTTCAACACCACATTGGCCACGACGGAGGTGGCGGTGGCGAGGACGAGAGCAGCAAGGAACTTCATGGCAATAAGCGAAAACGAAAAATGAAGAAAGATCCGACATCACCCTTTGTGTGGGTGTCCTATACATGTACTACGTAGTAATACAAAGAACAATTGAACGACCAAGCCGTACTCGATGACTTTTTCTTGCGACAGTAGGGTGCGGGAAATGACCAAAACAGCGAACCTCAAACGAATTGGCAGCATACCAAGCATCTCGATCGCTCTTGTTCTCTTCTCATACCTAATAGACACACTAGGGGCTGAGGACTTTCGATTGGCCTTTCGACAAGACGCGACAAAACGCTTGGTGTAGTGGCTTCAGCTCAAAAGTGTTCAGTAATTATAGTAAACTTGACATTGAATTGTGAGAAATTTAAAAACTACTACTATATAAGACTGCATCAAGTACGACTCATAATTTATAATCAACTTTCTCAGCTAAAGTACATGACTTTGACATTGAATTTCTCTATGACAGCTTGTATAAATGCGGGAATGGATGTAGATGTTGCTAACTTACGGTACCGGTAGTTGCAGGCTGTCGTTCAAAGCTAGATATCAGGCGATTGCAACATTGTAGCATGAGTGATGAGTCCTCAAAGTAGCCAAAAAGCATAAATACGACGTATTTTGCAAGTAAATAACTCGAAGAATATAGCTTGTAGCGACCTCTATGATACGTCATTACGTAGAAATAATACTTGTGAACACGCGAACTGAGTCTGAGCTGATCGGTATTCTTTGGCCCATGTTGTAAGTGGTTGTCTCAAATATACTACGTAGTAGCATCCAAGTTGACCAACATTGGTATGTAGTTATATTTCCTTTCAAGTATAACATCAGATAGCATCGTTTTGATGTGTTGCTTTAAAAAATTATATTCACGCCATGATAAAAACAATGAAATGTTTTCTTGTGAACTAATCCGATCGTGTAGCATTGGTTGCGACAATAGGCACCAGCTCCATCGAGTTCGTTGTAGTAAGTAATATAATACGCTTCAACGTTGTGGCACTTGTCGCACGTCAAGTTAAACTACACAGATCAATGTGCAAGATCGACCTGCTTATTCCAGAAATTAACGACTAACTGCAAGCCATACTTGATCGACCTGCTTTTTCCAGAAATTACTCGTTAAACGCAACGACAAAATACCTATAAATACATATATTGGTGTTTTGATGTCGAATTAACAACCATTTCAGGGATAACCGTGTGACCTTGGTCGGGGTACTGTACATGGCAAGACAGGGAAATCGTTAACTGTAAGGAATGCTGAATACTTACCGTAAGCTTAAAAACTTTAAGGATATATTCCACGGTTAAATGGGTGAATACCGCGGTGAGTAACACTTCTACGGTAGAACTTTTTTGCTGTAATCAGGGAATTGTTCTGACACGTAACGCGTGACCTGTTGTTAGCAGTGGTGCAAACAGTGGTACAATCGATTTAACCATGGTACATATACTAACTAGTACAGTACTAGTACTTCGTAGTACTTCGAAGTATATCCTTAACGTTTTTAAGCTTCATTTTATAAAGCTCCCGTCCATACGTAATGGTCTCTGCGTGATAGAATCCCTCACCTGGGCCTAACTAAGCCAATAAGGACTCATACAAGGAGAAAAGTACAGCTATATATTAGCCAATACATATTCGACAATGGATGAAAAACAAGAGATGCGCCAATCAGAGTCCATGTTACTGCCGTTTGTTTGGCTTATCCCAGGTGA